ACCGCTATCGCTTTCGCCTACCCCATCGAAGACGTTGCTGAATGTTTTTCTGCCGCATCAATAAATAGTGGGCTACAATCGACATCGACCGGCGTTTCTAAGGCTCTTGAAAAGGTGGACATCAATTCGAGCCTCACGCAGAAAGAACGCACAGCGCTGCAGGAGCTGTTGCTTGAATTTCAAGAGTGTTTCGCTTCATCCTCAAAGGTGCGTCAAACGCCCCTTATGAAACACCGGATTATTATACACACCGATGTCTCGCCCATAAAGCAACAACCCTACCGAGTTTCTGCCAAAGAACGTGACGCGATCAATGCTCAAGTCGAAGAGATGCTTCAGGATGATGTTATACAGCCGTCCAATAGTCCATGGTCATCGCCAGTCGTTCTTGTAAAGAAAAAGGACGGAACGTTGCGTTTCTGCGTGGACTACAGAAAGCTGAACGACGTGACAAAAAAAGACGTGTATCCTCTGCCACGCATCGATGATTCACTAGACAGACTACGGCGAGCAAGGTATTTTTCATCCATAGACTTGAAAAGCGGATACTGGCAGATTGAGGTTGATGAAAGAGACCGAGAAAAAACTGCTTTTGTTACACCGGACGGCCTGTATGAATTCAAGGTGCTTCCCTTCGGCCTGTGTTCTGCACCAGCGACATTCCAAAGAATGATGGACACTGTTCTTACCGGTCTGAAGTGGAACACCTGCTTAGTTATCTCGATGATGTCGTCGTATTTTCGGTCACTTTCGAGGAACACTTGAAACGTCTGCAGGCTGTTCTGGAAGCACTCCACTCTGCGAACCTCACGCTGAAGCCAGAAAAATGCCACTTTGGCTATAAAGAACTTAAATTTCTGGGGCATGTTGTGAGCGCAGACGGTGTTCGACCTGACCCCGACAAGACAACCGCCGTAGCCTCCTTTCCCGTTCCCCGTGACAAGAAAGCAGTACGCCGCTTCCTCGGTCTGTGCGCCTACTATCGTCGCTTCATCGCCAATTTTTCTAGAATTGCCGAGCCTCTGACTCGTCTCACACGTGACGACGTACCATTCGTTTGGAATGAAGAACAGAACGCGGCTTTTATCGATCTACGTGAGCGTATGCAGGCACCACCAGTTCTTGCTCACTTCGACGAGGATGCTGCCACGGAAGTTCATACCGACGCGAGCAATGTAGGTCTCGGCGCCGTGCTTGTCCAACATCAAGAAGGCACCGAGCGCGTGATAGCTTACGCCAGCCGTGCCCTGTCCTCGCGCCGAGATGAACTATTCCACCTCGGAGAAAGAGTGCCTAGCAGTAGTGTGGGCCACTATGAAATTCAGGCCTTACCTCTACGGTCGTCACTTTAAAGTAGTTACTGATCATCACTCATTGTGCTGGTTAGCCAATTTACGAGACCCGTCTGGGCGTCTGGCACGATGGAGCCTTCGTTTGCAAGAGTTTGACCTTACCATTGTCTATAAATCAGGCCGCAAGCACGAAGATGCTGATTCCTTGTCACGTGCACCTACCGGAGTTTGTGATCCCGACAATGACGATGACTGCGGCTTTCTCGGAGTCCTCACTGCAACAGACTTGATCGCACGACAACACGATGACGTCGAGATTCGCGCAATCATTGACCAACTAGAAGGACGCAACACACCCGTACCTCGGCACATCTCTCGCAATCTCTCTTCGTTCTGCCTGCGGAACGGTGTCTTGTATAAATCAAACTCGAACGGCAATGGAAAAGCCTACTTGCTAGTGGTCCCATCTGACATGCGAGACGACATTCTTCTGGCCTGCCACGACGAACCCACATCCGGGCATCTAGGTTCTTCACGAACTCTCGCCAGAGTTCAACAGGCGTACTACTGGCCGAGACTTGCTATGTACGTCAAGAGATATGTGAAAAGCTGCCGTGAATGTCAACGCCGCAAATCTCCGCCACTGAAGCCTGCAGGCCTGCTGCAACCAATCACACCACCAAGGTCGCCGTTCGATCAAATAGGCATGGATTTACTGGGGCCGTTTCCTCTGTCATCTGCCGGTAACAAATGGATAGTTGTAGCGACAGATTATCTAACGAGATACGCCGAGACAAGAGCCCTGCAACGAGCTACAGCTTCCGATGTTGCCCAGTTTTTCGTCGAACAGATCGTTCTTCGCCATGGCGCCCCGTCTTGCGTCATCACTGATCGCGGAACAGCTTTCACGGCTCAGCTCATTGACGATGTATTCAAGCTAAGCTTCACGAGCCATCGCAAGACGACGGCGTATCATCCGCAGACTAACGGCCTGACGGAACGACTTAACAAGACCATCGCCGATATGTTGTCCATGTATGTAGACGTTCAACACAAGACGTGGGATCAGGTCCTTCCATACGTAACATTCGCCTACAACACTGCCATCCAAGAAACGACACGATTCACACCGTTCCGTCTCGTCTATGGGCGTGAGGTCCAGACCATGTTGGACGCTATGTTGCCACACGATTACGACGGGTCGCTCACACCTGACGCTGAGCAGCTTGCTCAGTTTGCCGAAGAAGCTCGACAGTTGGCACGCCTGCATATTACGCAACAACAAACTGCAGATGCACGCCGCTACAATCTTCGCCATCGACAGGTCGAATACCACCCAGGAGATCTAGTTTGGGTATGGACTCCGGTTCGCCGCCAGGGGTTGTCCGAAAAGCTCCTGAGTCGCTACTTTGGACCCTACAAAGTAGTGCGTCGCATCAGTGACGTGAATTATGAGGTGGTTCCATATGGAACCATGTCACCCCAGCGTCGAAAGCACTACCCAGAGATTGTTCACGTTGTACGGCTCAAGCCGTACTTCGTACGTTAGTGGGACCGTACCTCAGCCTTGTTCTTTTGGTTGTTGTTTTTTTTTTCTTAAGTGTGCCCACAGTGTGCATGTCTGCTTTACTTCCGCTTATCCACTACCATTCGCGCGAGCATCGGGGCGATGCTTTTTTTTCAGTGGGGGAATAATGCCACCTGGCCATGAACTGCGGCGAGCACGAGCCCGCATCGAGGAGAAGAAACGAGGAAGAAGTTGTTGGGCTAGCGCGCTCTCGCCGAGGCTTTTGTTTTTTGGTTGTGGTGTCCCTGACCTGCGCCTCTGTGACTACGCGGTATTCTTTACCTGAAGTCCCTCTTGTTCACGCGCGACAATATAACATTGCCAGTCCTCTGAGCTCGCCAACTTCAGTATGTTTTTGGCATTACTAGCAAGACGGCACGCAAGGAACGCTTTGAAGGTCACTCGTTGCGAGTGCTTCTCTTGGCCATGGTAGCTCATACGTGCGCATCTTTCTCTTGATAGGGGCAGTTTGTATGTCTTGTGCTTTCTTCCGGAAGTTTGCACTGAAGCAACAGAAAGGACAAAGGTCACTTCGCTTGCTGCAGCAGCTACATTGCGATGTAAGCGTGCTGCTCACACATGAAGTAACAACTGTGGCAGTTCGCGCTCGTCCTGTGTGTACTTGTGCATTTGTTTAGTGCGTCCTTCATTGTGTTTGAGCAGCGCGTTTCAAGTGTCGAGCTGTTACAGCTGTTGCTTTGTGCTCATCCTATCATTTTGCAAGTCCTTTCTGTATAGGTGCTATCGGGGGGGGGGGGGGGGGGCAAGGGGGGCTCAAGCCCCTTCACTGAGAAAAGTTGGGGGGCTGAGGCCCCCCCCCGCCCACTTTAGACAGCTAGTGGTCACAGTCGACTGCACGCTGCAAAAAAGAACAACCAAGGCAGAATTTTCCTTCACCACTAGTAATCACTCAATTATATTATTAGGAGAAAAAAAACCAAGGGAAAGGTACATTGTAGCGATAATTTTTCAACATTTCAGCAGTGACGATTTTCCTTGAAGGCTTTTTGCGACGCTTTCCGCCCTGTGTAGTAGCACAGCAGAGCAGGCTAGTGTTTAACAGGTGCCCTATTAATTACATCGCTTGTTCATGATTTTATACTACTGCAACTCGCTGATGCAGTTATAGATGGGAACGAACACACTCTTTATGGGCTTGTCAAAGCATTTGCTGGTTTGGCAAAATAATTTTCTTTCATTAAAAAGGATTACCGTCAACGCTGCACTGTCGAAGCTGCTGTGAGCACATGACTGCAACTGATCTTTCTAAATATTTTAATTTTACCACACTGGAAGCGCCAAGAAAGGTTTCCACTTTAATGTCCGATAAATCTGATCATCCTTGCTAATGGCAACTTGGAGCGATGGAGCTCCAAGTTGCCAGCTTGCGAAGCCGGGATGAATAAAGCAGTGGACGAGAGCTCAGTGAGAAGCTAAAGTAAGTAGATAGAAGTGCTCAAAACACCTTTGGTTCCTCAAGGAGTGCTTTACATTTAAAAACTGAATTTTTTTGCGAGCTCCTTTTAGTCATAAAAATTTCATTCAATGTTAAAGTATTTACTGTTGAGGAGGCCGCCATCAACATAATTGGAGCCATGCCGAAAGTTGTGAGGTAAAGCATAAAAAGCGTCGCGTGTAATATTATTACATGCATCACACATAACAGACATATACGTGTTGTCCCAGTGCATGCTGCTTAAAACTGACTGCCCTTTTTTACGCTATTGAACAAGTGCTGTGTGTATGAAAAATGACATGAAAGGGTGAGCGCGTCAAAGAAGTTGTCTGCCTCCTAATATATATATATATATATATATATATATATATATATATATATATATATATATATATATATATATATATATATATATATATATATATATATATACACACTTAGTTCCCCCACTCGCAAAAGAGTTGGTATGCCACTGCCTTTCTGCTTTAGGTGCGCGCTGCAAGTTTCGAGCTGCTTCTCGCTGTTTGTGCGACATTGAAATTTGTTGGTGCAGAATTCCTTCCTCCACCCTCATGGCGAAACAATGCAGAGTGACTGCTCAATTACTTATGAGAAAACCTGTTTGTGAAGACATGTTGTGAAGACAAAGACCGCTAACAATTTAAAAATACTCCATAATGCATAATTAGAAGGTAGCATGTTCAGGAAGCACGTTTTTATTGCAAACAACATGTTATGTACAGGAGTGTTATGTACAAATCACAGGACATCAGTAAAAACAGCTAGAGGTGCACAAAGAAGCAACATGCAGCTGTATATTTATGACTGGGAAGGACTTCACACCATTCCATCACACTGCATTTATTCTAGGAGTCCGACCAAGCAGATGGCATATGCCTGCTGCATAAGCAGGAAACATAAGAAGCTCTAAAAGGCCTCGTAAATGTGAACGATGCCATTTTTAAAATGTAAGAACTTGCTGTTTAGTGAATACCAACCACCTAAACGTAACAGGTGAAAGAAACGCACTCACGACATTTAAATTCTGCAACATCAGGGTGGCAGTAAACTGCTTCACCTTTTGAGCAAAGTTCAGCATGACTGAAAAAATGTGCTAGCAGTGAATTCTCCATTGCAGAGTTAATTAACATGCAATAAACTAACTTTAGTGAAAAACTACCGAGCACAAGGAAACACCCAAGACACAAAAAGACACTAGGGACAAGGAGCACTGTGCACCTTCTTTGTGTGTAGCATGTTTCTTGTGCTCAGTAATTTTTTATCAGTATGCACCAACTAGACCCTCAAAAAGTCCTATTGAGATCTCATTGAGGCACACAGTTTCTTCACACAATCTCTTTGTCTAATTTTTGAGCTTGGCAAAAGAAGTTAAGTGCACTTGCCCGGAAAAAACATTGCACTGGATAGCCCTTCATGTTAGTTATTGACCTCCTCACGTTAAAAGAATGTACATATGCATGCATTATGAATAACTGTAAATAAATGCTCAGAAAATAGGGACTCAAGAAAACTCAACTTTCTTCACACAATCTCTTTGTCTAATTTTTGAACTTGGCAAAAGAAGTTCAGTGCACTTGCCCGGAAAAAACATTGCACTGGATAGCCCTTCATGTTAAGTATTAACTGCCTCACATTAAAAGAATGTACATATGCATGCATTATGAATAACTAAATAAAAGCTCAGAAAATTAGGGACTCAAGAAAACTAAACTGGTCTTGAGTAGAGATGATTCTGTGGTTTTGCCGTTGTTATCTTTGTTTAGGCCAAGCACTAGTGTGCTGCCCTATGATGATGCCACTGGTGTATGGTTTAAAGTGATAAAAAAGCGACTGTTGAATGTACACGAGGTTATTTTAGGCAGTGACATCGGAGTGGCAGTCTGTCTTTCACTCTCATCGTACCGCTCGGCATAGAGCAGATACGACATTGGGTCGGAAGCAGGATGATCCTCCCATTCTCACTTGCTACTTGTAGCACCCTCCCTGCATTCGACCAGAACAATGGCAGCCCCGCCAGCGGCAGGCATCTTGCCACCGCGGCCGTTCAGCTTCCGACCAGGACTTTTTGACTGACCAGAATGGATCATGTCATTCGATGATAACCGCTATTCATCAGGGACTTCGGCAAAAGAACCTCATGTTTATTCAACAGCCGTTTTTTATCACTTCACACCAGTGATGTCATAGGGCAGCACACTAGTATTTAGCCTGAACAAAGACAACAACAATACGTTTCTGGCTTCCCGTTTTGGCTGAGACAATGTTACAAAATTTTTATTGGCTATTCCATTTCAATATAGTACTTGTATAAGAGCAGTAACACTCTATGATCTCTCAGCGCTTTAACAGCACCATATAAATTGCATAAAGAATGCTTTGAACAGCTCCATTTTGAAGAAGCACAACAAGTATTGAGTCGTACTCTTACAAAAGTGTTAAAGAATACATCACGGTTCAGTTTATAGGCACACATGTGCAACAACAATGTACCAGAAGCATACAGTGTGATAAAAAAAGCAATCGGGAAGTGGTGACATATGCACATTGCAAGAAATGTGTATATATGATACAAACTAACAAATAGAGTGTGTCTTGCCTGTTTGTAAAGTAACAGACAATTGAGTAAATATGAGTTGTACATAGAACTCGAAAAATATATACGTACACATATGCTCCACAAGGCCCTCAAAAACATTAAAAAACTGTGCCCCACATAGGTAGAACAGGTGTTTTATGTCTATGATCCTGGTACAAAACATCCTTGAAAGCACGACAGATGATAAGCACTCTTATATGTTGAAACAGAGCGCCAATAATAGCTGCCACAAAAACATTTCAAACACTACCTACCGCAACACCTATTAACATGATGTAATCATCACCGGGTCAGCAGTATACACAGTGAAATGCAGAGATCTTTGTTCCTTATTAATGATAAGGCATTTCTCTTGACAACCTCAAGAATAGCAAGATGTAAAGGTCTTTAGCATGCGCACATCACTCGCAGATTTAAAAAAAATGATGGCAGACTGACATTTAAAATGCTAATTTCATTTAAACTGACTTTGAAATTTGGTGACTGTCGGTTTGGGTGCCAGTTTGGTGCTATTCCAAGCAACAGCAATGACAGCAGTGTTGAATAGTGACAGTCCACTAATATGATGTTTTCTAATTTAGTCCACATGTGAACAGTTTGGTGATCTTTGATGCACCAACCATTTAGCGGGGTAGATGCCACTGTGGTGTCATGTACTAAGAAGTTGGCCTTCACTGTACAGGTCTTTGATGACATTAGCAAATTGCTGTCGTGCAGTATTCCGCTTGAGTTTGAGCGTGTTTGTCACAAGTCCAGAGGCCAGTAAGTCATTTTCTATGTGCAGGTGAACATTCTGAACCTAGCAAAATTGCAGGATACACAATCGAAATAAGGGAACCAGACATTTTCTGTAAATCAGGTAAGCCTATAGCCAGCAATGAAATTGAGCAATTAAGAATGAAGTGCAAGCTAAGAATTAAGCCCCCTTTAGTATAACGAATTCTTAGTTTGAGTATAAACGAATATACATGTTTCAACCTAATACAAGCTAAACTTGTACCAACAAGTTGTGCTACTGTGTTTTAAGATAGCCACTCTGGTGCCTGCGGCCTTGGTAAGCAAGACATGAATGTCGCTGAAAAATATTGGCACCAGCTTTCAATGATCTTGGCAATGTCTGCTTGCACCTAGATTACGTTCAGGTACCTAAGCTCTCAACAACAAAATTTAGTATTAACAAATGTGTTGCATCTTCACAATTATTGTGCCAAATGATAGGCCAATACCCAGAGAGCGTGGGAAATGTACTGGTAAGCATGAGTGAGCCCTGAAAAATTAATTACAGCATGCTTTTAAAAGCTTTTTTCAGTTCCTACTGTACCCTGAGGTCACGACATGGTATGAGCAGCACCACCAGGCATGCGCAAGATTTCAAGATCCTTACACGCGTGTCGCTTTTTTGAACCATTCGTTTGCCCTCTGATAAGGGTATATCTTGTATTCGCGTGCAACACGGGTACGCTGGATGACAGTGACCGCATGACACGAGCAGGCGATCGAGAAGGCGCCGCGCAAGCTGTCATTTTTTGTGTTTTGGTGCTTGATGTCATCTCAACTAGCGAGACTATGCGTGTAGTCACCAGGATTAGTACTGTATCCTGACGTCGAAGTTAGTGTCGATGTCGGTAAGTGCACTGCGAGAAAATTGACTTTAATATCAAAATAAAATACTTTATCAGCATTTGCTGAGCGTCACACTTGCTCACAGCCGTCTCCGTATGTAGAAGATTTGTATGGCAGAGTAAACACGCCCTCGAAAAAAATCGTGTCAGTACCCCTTTAAAAGAAACAGTAGCAAATAAGAATAAGTTCCTAAGAGAGCTTTGTCAAGTGGACCCCATGTGTGAGTACTTTGAGGAAATACGAGATATTGTTCTACATTGTAACAAGACTTCTTTCACTGTCTCTGTGGCTGCGATTCCACACGGTCATGAACTATTGCGTGTCCAGGATATTGAAAAATACCTATCCAGCCATTTGAGAAGTGGGCCCAATGTAAAGACTACTCAAAAACAGTGCAAAAAGAGAACATGCTATGCAACAACGTATTGTTCGACAACATGTTCACAACTGCAAATATTTTCACCTACAAGAAGCACCTAGGACATCAATGCACCTTCCATCTTCTTTTGGGGAAAGAAAAAAAAAAAAAAATATCTGGAGCCATATTCTGGGTATGTCATTTGTGGCAGCAGTGTTGCTTCATGTAACTTAATTCTTACATGTCGAATGACTGAAGCAACTACTTGCCAGTCTTTCCTCAACCATTCCAACAGCACGCACTAAAATCAAAATTATGGCGATATCTCCAAACTGCCATAGAATAAGGATTCTGAAGTGCCCCAAGATGTCCAGAACATGTATGAGCATGTTTTCAGTCAGAGCTATTTGCTTTAATCAGTACTGTAGGTACTGTAATTTTTTATAGTTAATGACTACATTGTACTCTAAAGAAAAAAAAATTTCACTTATACATAATGTGCTTCATATCAAATAAAGCTGCAGAGCTGTGTGAGTAGTGCGGTCAGCATGTCTCACAGGACATATTTTAACGCGATAGCGTAAAAGAGCTCGTTTCACAGAAATTCCGGTGTCAGGATCGATGTCGTTGGTTGGGAGCGAGAAATGCAAGATAAATGCAAATTTAAAAAATAAAAAAGTCCAGTTTAGGAGGTGAACCGAATCCAGACATTTGGTGAGGCAAGCAGATGTTATACTACAGAGCTACGATGGTGCAAGTCCCGGAAAAAAAAAAAACACTACATAATGTCATGCAGTGCGAGGAGTCTCCTTTATGCATGTATTATTGTGTGGCATAAGCATAAAATGCCACCAGATGTCAAAGCATGTGGACTGTGCAAATAAGTGGTTGGTTTGAAATCGCACCAATTACAACAGGCACAGGCGTAACTAAACATTATTCCCATCAACAGCATCAAGAAAGTGCACACTTGTACAATTGCGGCTGTTGCTTCATGGACATGTAGTGTGCGCTCTGCCCATTTGCAGAAGGAAGAATTACAGCATAGTTAGCACTTCACAACTGTGCTGGAAGTAGGCATTGTAGGATAGGACAGTGAAGCCAGGCTAGCGAATGAGAAGAGTATGCTGAACGGGGCCAAACTACATTATCGCGTTCTATTCTTGGAAGCAAAGCTCAAGCATCCTTCCAAGTTTTTTTTTTAGAGTAGTTGTATTTGATTTATGATGCGTTCTGCCATAGACTTACTTCATAAAGTCAACTAAAGCTTGTTGACACAATGTTACAGCATGTAAAATAATATTCATCAATCTTCGTGCTGTTTTTATTCAATTAACCTAGGTTTTGGTCGCAAATACAAGTGGTGCCTTGTGCTCATGGTCACAGAAATGTGCAACTCTACTCATTTGGCGAAGTAATGTATAGGGAAAGTTCAGTAGTACAGCAGGACCTTCCATGCAATAAGTATGCCATAGTGTATTGTGAAATAGAGGTGCGATACATACGACATTTATTGCAACATTGATGCCTTCTGTTCCATATATATAATGCATTATTTTTTTGTGTGTGTGCGCGACTGACAAAAAGTGATAGAAGTTTTGAGCACACTCCTAGCTATGTATGGAAACATTGTCTGTATGATACGCAAACTGGTAGAAGTGTATGAATATTTCAAAGACTTTCGAATAATCAATTAAATAGTGATGTATTCAACGTAGCCGATGTTGCGCTACTTAAGGTACAATGGCTTGTTTCCTCATTTATAATGCACTACCTTTGCTGAAACACCTTAATGCCACATTAGCGTCGCTTAATAACAAATTTATAAGCGTGTACAAAGAGTGCATGCAAGACTGCAATATTATCAGTACTCCAGCTACCATAAATTAATTAAGGTGACCAATTAAACAACATTCATCAAAATTTTCCTTACCTGATGAAGGGAGCTCAAGCCATTTTCTCTGCCAAGCTTCTGCATCTCCTTGAGCAAAGTTTTGCGCACAGTCTGTAGTTTCAATGCAGACAGTACTTGCCAGTTAGAAAAACACTTTGAAGCCTCTATATAACAATTCTCTCAATAATAGGTCACTAGTACGGCCTTTCTTCCTATGAGCATCACAAAATAGAAGCTCACAGGTACTTCTTACTTACCAGATTTTGGCATATTTCAGGCAAAGGCACTTTCTTGCTGAGACCGCAGGTAGCAGCAAGGTCCCTTAGAGGCTCCTCATGAGGAATAACAATGGCAACACAAAATGACTGCAAATTTAAAATAGAAAAAAGAAATGCACTAATTATAGCTCACTACTGATGCATGCTTATCTCAATATTCCCTTTCAGCCTTTTAACTTTCTGCTATTATTACAAATTGATTTTTGAGCTGGAAAAGCATGTGCTTCGAAACTGTTGCCTCAGTCTGGGACAGCACAACAAAGTTTGCTTGTGGTTATCCTTTCACTATGTAGTGCTGAACACTACCTGTGAAGCATTAATAGAGCAAAAAAAAAAAAATCAGTACCTGTGTTGGACATCCTGTGACAAATATTGTAGCAACATAGTCCATCATGCTGTAGACACTTTCAATCCGATCAGGTGAAATAAACTCTCCCTGAAAAAAAAAAAATGCAAGTAGCTTAGTAATATTTTCTTTGCCAGAAAAATACAATACTGGAATTATTTCTTTATACACGAACTTAATTTGTATTCATGATAAGCAAGAAAAACAAATACAGTACCATGTTATGGTCAAGTGCCAATGGCTAACTTGCTCCACACTCATCGAACAAGTTAACTTGGTCAGCTCATTAACAATAATATTGTTACGCACAAGGAGGACCAGGACGTATACTGCTGAAGGGGGCCCTTTATTTTGGTCGCGAAGAGAAGCGCCGGAGCGGCCAACAGGTCGATGATCGCAGTGTCGTCATCTTCTTTCTTCCTCCAGCTTTGGGCAGCCAGCATGTTCACCCATCTTCGTTTTCTTCCAAGGCATGCGTAACATTCCTCCCCTCGCAGACGAAGCCCGCCAGGCGAGGTAACCGATTCACCTTGGTGTGTACAGCTTCAGTCGAGCGACATGGACTGCTTGGGTTTTAGCGGCTCTTCTACCACTTCTCGTGAGGCGAGCTATTGTGTATGTGACTTCCGTGATTTTGTCGAGAACGACAAACGGTCCGTCGTTTGTGGCCAAGAACTTTTGGCATAAGCCGCGTCTTTGTACCGGAGTCCACAGCCACATTAAGTCGCCTGGATGGTAAGTTACAGGCCGGTGGCGGACGTCATAGCGTACCTTCGATTTTTCCTGTGATGCCAAAGTGCGTAGACGAGCAATACGACGCGCCTCTTCTGCAAGGCAGAGGATTTCAGTGACTGAGAGGTTCTCGTGCGCCGAGAATGGCAAAACTGTGTCGAGTGTGTGGCGTGGCGGTCGTGCGTACATCAAGAAAAAGGGGCTATAGCCTGTTTTCTCGTGCTTAGCGGTGTTGAACGCGTACGTTATAAATGGTAGCACGTCATCCCAGTTCTTGTGGTCGGATGCCACATACATAGAGAGCATGTTTACAATTGTTCGGTTGGTGCGCTCCGAGAGCCCATTTGTTTGCGGATGGTATGGCGACGAGTGACGAAGGCGGGACTCACTCAATCGAAGCAGCTCTTCTACTGTGTCTGCTGTAAATTGTCGCCCACGATCACTGATGATCACGTGAGGTGGGCCATGTCGGAGGATAACGTGCTGCAGCAGGAACACAGAGACGTCGCTGGCAGTTGCGATTGGTAAGGCCGCAGTAGCGCATGAGGTAATCGACACATACAATTATCCAGCGATTTCCTTTAGCCGACTTTGGAAAAGGGCCCATGAGGTCAATGCCCACCTGTTGGAAAGGTGTGCTTGGAGGTGGCAAGGGCTGTAGAAGACCAGCCGGAGCAGTAGACGGGCGTTTGTGGCATTGACACTGTGTGCAGCTGGCCACATACGCCTCGACTGACTGTCGCATTCCTGGCCAATAAAAGCGTTCCTTAGCACGGTAAAGCGTCCGCGCAGAACCTAAATGTCCGGACGTAGGATCGTCGTGCATAGCACCTAAAATCGCTGTCCGAAGGGTTTCTGGCACTACCAGGAGGAAACGTGCGCCAGTGCTGGAAAAGTTCTTCTTATATAGGAGTCCGTTGCGTACACAGAAATGGCATGCCATAGGAGCTGTGCAAAGCGATGATAGCCTGGTGTCCTTTCGCTGTTCATCTTTGAAAGTACTGAGGTTGGGAAACTTTGGTGACACAGAAGCTACGAGGTGATCGAGGTCATCGGCGTCACACTCTGTAGTGCTCAGTGGCATGCGCGAAAGGCAATCTGCGTCGGCGTGTCGTCGACCACTTTTGTACGAGACTATGAAGTTATACTCTTGGAGCCGAAGTGCCCAGCGCGCTAGACGGCCGCAAGGATCCCGAAGGTTGACGAGCCAACACAATGAGCGGTGGTCGGTGACGACTGTAAAAGGGCGTCCGTATAAGTAAGACCGAAACCGCTGAATCGCAAATACTACCACGAGGCATTCTTGTTCTGTGACAGTGTAATTCTGCTCGGGCCTACTCAAGGAGCGACTTGCGCATGCAATCACGTGCTCGCGGTTACCATAGCGTTGAACTAGGACGGCACCAATTCCTATGCCGCTGGCATCTGTGTGCAGTTCGGTTGGAGCTGATGGGTTGAAGTGTTGAAGAACAGGCCGCGACGTCAGGAGGAACTTCAGTTGACGAAAAGAGGAGTCGCACTCTGCAGTCTACTCGAAGGGAGTATTCTTCCGTAGCAAACATGTCAGCGGATACGCGACCTCGGCAAATTTAGGTATAAAGCGGCGAAAATAGGAGCAAAGCCCCAAAAAACTGCGGAGCTCCTTCACAGAGCGCGGCACATTGAATGTTTCAACGGCTGCTGTCTTCTGGGGATCTGGACGGATTCCCTCCTGATCGACTAGGTGCCCGAGAACAAGGGTTTGTCGGTCTCCGAAGTGGCATTTATTTGAGTTAAGAACAAGGCCAGCATTTCTTATGCAAGTCAGTACAGTATCCAGACGTGAATTGTGTTCGCTGAAGGTGCGGCCAAAGATGACGACGTCGTCGAGATAGCACATGCAAATGCTCCACTTCAAGCCACGAAGAACAGTGTCCATAAATCGCTCGAACGTCGCTGGCTCGTTGCACAGTCCAAATGGCATCACGTTGAATTCAAAAAGGCCGTCAGGGGTTACAAAGGCTGTCTTTTCTTTATCTTCAGGATGCATGGGAATTTGCCAGTAGCCCGATCTTAAGTCTACAGAGGAAAAGTAAGAGGCCGAATGCAGACAGTCTATGGCATCATCAGTACGTGGAAGTGGGTACACGTCTTGTTTTGTTACCGCATTCAATTGGCGATAATCGACGCAAAATCTCCAGGATCCGTCTTTCTTTTTAACGAGAATTACTGGAGCTGCCCATGGACTTACCGACTCTTGAATGATACAGTTTTCAATCATTTCATTCACCTGCTCATTAATAATCCGCCGCTCGGATGGCGAAACACGGTATGGCTTTTGTCTAATCGGATTGGCCAAACCCGTGTTGATAGTGTGACATGTCCGAGAAGCAGGGATTAGGGGCGCTTTGTCTTTCTGTGCAAAGTCGAATGCAGAGACGTGCTTCGAAAGTACATTGACCAATGTTCGGCGTTCACTTGTGCTCAGCGACTTATTCACGATTGACAGAAGAGCCGTTTCAAAACTGTGACTACGATGCTCTTCCGGCGCATCTCTAAGCTCGGTCACCAGTAAGGCCTTGTGTTGTCCACTGACGACGACTAACTTTAGACCATCTGGTAACATCACGGGTTCTGTAGAGCAATTGACAGTCCATAAACCAGAGCGTCCACGTCTGATCGACACCACACAATGTGGGATCAACACATTCTTTTTCATGCAGTTGGTGTACACTGGTTCAATGTTGCCATCAAAGTTGGCGGAATAGCTGTCGCTGCAACCAACAGGTACACGAACGGTTGATAACGGTGGTATGATAGTGTCGCCACAGACACACAATGCCTTCTCACCATCCACAGGGTTTTCCAAGAGTGGTGGCGGAATGTGATCACTCAAGACTATTGTCCCTGTGCGGCAGTCGACAGTCGCACCACACTCCCTCAAAAAGTCCATACCCAAAATAACATCATGTGTCGCCTGCGGAATAATCACGAACTCCGTTGGGATAACGCGGCCTCCGAGAAATACGTCAGCTTGACACACACCAACAGGATGCAGTGCCTCACCACTCAATCCGCAAAACTTCGCAGCTTGATTCCACTTAAATAAAACCTTCCGCCCCAAGGTATCTTTAAAACACGCACTCATGACCGAAATGGTTGCCCCCGTATCCACCAAAGCCATCACAGGCACACCGTCAACAAAAACACGTACTTTGTTCTTGAGCATCAACACAGGAGGTATTTCTGATATTAGCACGTCTCCGGCGACCTCACCTCCACCGGCCGCGCTAGCTAGTTTTCCTGTGTCAAAGGAGACGTGTTGCGACGCCGTGGCGAAGGAGAACGGGGAACACGAGGCGGTGGAGGCGTCAAGCTCCTGTCAGATGCAGGGGAGTGGTTCCGGAAGCTGCGTGTCCAGTAGTCGTCGCGATGCAGCAGGTGTGTTGCCTTAGGGTCGTCGTACGGTCGATCAGACGGTCGTGTGAAGTGTTGTGGTGGGCCATAGTACGTTGCTCGCGGGTCATCGCGAAGTCGTTCGGAAGGCCGTGCAAAGTGTGGTGGGTAGCCATACCGTGGGGCTACACATCGACGGTTGCAAAATCGCGAAATATGTCCTGGTACACCACAGGAGTAGCAAACTGTGAGAGGTCAAAACTCTCTTTGTTCTTCGATGAATCGAAAATCGTCTTCCCTGGCGGAGTGGGTCGGTTCGTTCCGTATATCATAGGGATAGACCGGGCGTCGCGAAGAAGGCGGACGCTGGGGGCATCGGTCATGGCGAGGAGCTGGCAAGGGCGGTGCTCTCCTTGGCTGTGGGGGTGCGCTGTACTTAACAGCTGCTGCACTAACCATCGATTGCCAAGGGGTCGTAGAAGGCGGCGGCGCAGTCACAGCCTCATGTGGCACATATACCGAATGTTGGTCGTTTACAGAATGGTGATCAACTGCTGAATGCGTCTGTTCTCTATAGCGAAAAAGTTCTTCGCGAACAATCTCTCGAATCGTCGAGGACAGGTCTGGGCAGGTGCTCGTGTCGATGCTGGCAACCGTTGTAACATTTGTGAGCCGGCCGAACTTTGGAGCAATTCTGCGCATTTTCAGCTGTTCGAAAGTTCGGCAATGCCGAATCACGTCGGCCACCGAGCTCAGGTGCTCTTTTCCGATGAGAAAATTATATACATCTTCGGCTATGCCTTTCAGCAAATGCCCTACTTTGTAGTCTTCTGACATCTGATCATTGACCACCTTGCAGAGCTTCAGCACATCCTCTATATACGTGGTACATGTCTCACCTGGAAGCTGCGCGCGTTGAGACAATGTCTGCTCTGCCCGCTTCCTTTTGACGCTCGAGTCGCCGAAACACGCTTTCAGCTCTGCAACAATAACGTCCCATGTCGTCAGTGTGTCCTCGTGATTTTCGCACCACACGAGCGCAGTATCTGTAAGGCAAAAGACCGCATTGCTGAGCTGAGCGGCGGCATCCCAGCCGTTGGACTTGCTGACTCGCTTGTACTGGACGAGCCACGCGTCGACATCCTCTCCCGATTTTCCTCCAAAGGTTGGCGGGACTCGGTAGTAGGTCACGGAACCCATTGGAGTTGGCCTTGAAGCGTTAGATGGCTGATCTTGGGCCATTACGATCGGCGCAGGCGGGAGTCCGGCAAGGCGGCAGCTGCGGCGAAGTCCAGGATGCTGTAGACACTTTCAATTCGATCAGGTGAAATAAACTCTCCCTGAAAAAAAAAAAAATGCAAGTAGCTTAGTAATATTTTCATTTACAGAAAAATAGAATACTGGAATTATTTCTTTATACACGTACTTAATTTGTATTGATGATAAACAAGAAAAACAAATACGGTACCATGTTATGGTCAAGTGCCAATGGCTAACTTGCTCCACACTCATCGAACAAGTTAACTTGGTCAGCTCATTAACAATAATATCATGAATACACTTGTTTCTGCCAGGAGCGCAACAGGAAAAATGTAGCCAGTGCGGCAAACCTGTCATCAGATGCACGTGACAGCACAGAGCAAGACGTATTTAGGAGATTAAAGTCCTGTTAGAAGGGGCATAGGTGGGCAACCAGGTGATGTCATAAATATAGCCTGCATCAATGGAGGCCCTTTCGCTGGCAGTGCCTTCAGGAGCATGCCTCCAAATGCTCCTGGGCAGCCATGGAGAAAGGCTAGAAGCGTTCATGAGCAGAAGACAATGGCGTTCCTGCGAGTTTATGCAAGAAGTCCGTAAAGCCAAAGGTAGCAGAGGTGTTGGTCTGCAGTGACTGAGCAAGAAACGAATGTTGCAGAATGCGCTCTGCGTTTACGCTCTGCGACTGTGGCAGAACAGGAGCAACACATGCAACCAGTTCCATTGGCAACCAAAATGGCTGCAATTTTTTTATAGCTGTGAGCCGGATGCCGCTGGTATGACGTGGCTCTCTGGCAGTGTGCCATTATCTGGTCGCCAGAAAGCGGTGTTGCACCTCGTATATTTTTTGCTCCGAGTGTGACAGTCATTAGGAGTACCCTCATGGAAACTGTCAGTCAATATAAAACATAAAATCACACTCAATTGGTACTGTTGTAACTGATTTATCAGTATTGCCACAACAAGTGACACCACCGCGATCTAATCTTGCTTTAGAGAGCACAACAGTGGCTAATAATAAAAATGGCAGCATATCACTGGGGTGAATGATGGAGAGTGGGGCAAAGCATCCGTCCGTGCGTCCATCCGCCCGTTTGTGCGTGCGTCTGTCCGCACGTCCATTCCGTGCGTCCGTCCCTGCTTCCATCCCTCTGTGCAGCTATCTGTACGTCTGTCTGTGTGTCCATTCGTCCATCCGGTCAACACTCCAAGTACCACCATGTCGCATCTTTTCATCATTATATTCCGCATACAGAAGCAACGCCATCCAGCAGGACATACCAAGGACTAAACTAGAGGTGGCACACGCACACTTTCTTACGGCTTGCGCTTCGTGTCTACTTTCACTTTTAACCACCTCGAGTTCATGGTATATACTAGTTCACTGTATTCATGGCACTGTGGCCCGAACGCTCACTAAACTTTTATATAACCAAGGAGGTTGCGCCCAGCAAGTATAACGTAGCAACCCTTTCTTGTCAGATAGTGCTCAATGTACATGCCAATGGCCGCTACTGGGGAATGAGAGACAGGAGAATTCGGCTTTCAGTTAACGCACAAGCTGTGAATTTTTTATTGTTCAACAATGCACAGGAGAAATCTCCCACCGGTGCCACCTTGCAGGTCAAAACGTAAGACTTGTTACGCGCTACTACGAGGGACGAACGGGTGCCACTTTAAGAATCTTCACCCCAATAAACTATCACTGACGTTGACGTTAATTCAAAATAGGATTGTTGGGTGTAATGTTCCAATTAGTCTCAGGCTACGAGACACGGCAAAGGGGAGAGCCCTGAGTAATTTCAACCTGCTGGAGTTTTTTAACGTGCACTAACGTTGCGCAGTACGCAGGCCTCTAGTGTTTCGCCTCCAAACTGCGACAGCCTTGGCCAGGATTGAAAAAGCATTTCTGGGTCTGCAGCCAAGCACCGTGACGACTGAACCACCGCAACCCTTCTTGAAGGGGCCCTGCAACACTTTCCCAACTAATCGTCTAATGGCTTCATTATAAGAGCTTCTTGCGTCGCGAATCGAATGCAGTAAAAATTTTCAGAATTCGTCAGGTTGAGCAGAGTTATGTTAATTTGTGCACGTTTCAAGTGGGTGCTCTTTCTTCATAGCAGTGCGTGCGTCGAAAGTTATGTAGGGAGGGCAATGAAAAGGGGGCAAGGAGACAAGTCCTTTTGTCAGCACGCATCATGAACTTGAGCCCATTTTCTATTTTTAAAACACGCGGCTAATTATCAATGATATCGCGAACGTGTGTGCGGGCACGCGGCCGCATCCTGCGGTGGCCAAGATAATTATACGGCTCAAGGTGCTTAAGTCAACCAGTGGTCATGTACTTTGGGCATATGGCATAGTAATTCGGGTATATGGAATCATTAGTCTAGAGAAGAGAGAATGATTCCTAGCTGACTGATAATTAATCGTGAATTCCAGGCTGCGTGCTGCACTATGATGTTTTGGCTCACGTTTTCTCAGGAGCCCGGCTACTGATTAGCGGGGCCTTGTGGCCATGCTGAAGTGTTTCGGGGCCCCTTTAATTTAAAATGGTATTTGAAGTTCTTAGTCCTATCAAAATGTAGGGAAAAATATACAGCATGGCCAAGACTACTTTATATTGCATGACTAAAAATGAAAATATAAAAAATGACACCTCTAGCAAAAAAAATTGTGAAATTTAACCAGCTTAAAACATGTGGCATCAGCTATTCTGACCACTAGTTTGGCTTCTGCTGTACAGCTCTGCTCTTGATACTGTTAAACCACAATGATGTGCATGGCTTTATTGTAACATGATGCTTAGCTAAATGTGCGCTGAAAGAACAAAAAAAAAATTCATTTGCCGACAGTATAAATGAACACACCGAAGGACTGCAGTTCTCCATTTGTACTTTTCTTTGCATTTTCTGAATAGATCAGATGCAATGTTTCACTATAAATAAATTTTGTTTTTGCTGTTTGTGGTAATGTGGACTGATAGTTTACTAACCTGAGAGAGCTTGAAGAAGTCCTTTTTTCGGTCGATAACCTTCAGTGCCCCAGTCTAACAGACAAATAAAAGGAAAAAATATGATTAAGAAGTACTGAGCTAAGATGCAGTGCATAAAGACAATAATCCAGAATAGTAGACATCAACTGGGAAGCTTTCTCTTTGCATATCCTGCATGGTCTAGACATGCAGGTTCTGAAGCAATTTTATCAGACATTGACCACATGAAGCACAGCAAACTGTTTATTCTTCTCATATCCCTTGTTACTAGAGGTGCTAGCTTGTAACTGAATTTTAAACTTTTACACAGGGACAGAACTGTTCAGTCTAGTAGATGCCGATTAGTAGATGGTAAAAAAATTTAAGTATGTTTTCATAAAAAGCTTGTTCAAATGTGCTGATGCTGTCTGGTACATTCCCATAATTCCCACTCTGTACTGTATTCACTCAAATATGCAAATATGTACGTAGTCTCACTTTACAAACTTTCTGTAATCTTTATGGGTGTGCGAATATTCGAACTTTCATATAATTTTCGAAAAGGGTGCTGTTTCATTCGTTTCACACTTGAATTTTGACGATTCAGTGTGTTCAAACTTCCCGAAGACAAACACAGTCAACATCCAATTACCTGTGGCCCCCTTAAGATTTTATTTTTAAATGCTTAACCCCAGCACACACTCGCATTGCAGCAAAGCTGCCTTTCACACTAATATGGTAGCAAATGTATCGACTCTAGACTAAAAGCTGGCTCCTACACGGAAATGAACTGCGCCGTTACAGTGACCCTTTCATTTTTTAAAGACGATAACTTTTTTTTTTGAACCTTCGGTGCCAAAACTTTGGTCTGTCCATCTTTCTTTTTTTGTCTGTCTGTACATTTGTCTGTTTGTCCGCAGTTATGATCCCCCTAACGGCATCAAACAATACCTCAAACGGTCAAACCCATCTGCAGCGCCCACCAATATTTCTCGTGTCTCAGCGTTAATACTTGTGTGATTGTCAATTAAAAACAATGATTGCATATATCTGAGGCACCACATCAACACCTTGATGTTTTGTATGTGTGCCTTTTTACTAGAGAAGGCACACACAGGTAACTTTAAGGACCGTAGCGTTAATCACGCTGCGCTGACAGTGCAACGCGATGCTCAAAAAGGCAAGTGTTTCCAATGCTTTGCTAAGATGACACGGTGGTGGCACCTGCTCGTTGCTTTGCATTCTACATTCTATCGCTTCCGAGGCAGGTGCGCATCTTTCTCCACAGGCGCGCACGCCTTTTTTTGTTTTTGAAGATTACTGCCAAATGGCGCTCGTGTCTAACGTGACTCGATGCGCTCGTTCGCCTTCGCTGCACGGATCGAGACTCTCTAATGCAGCGCTTCCAGACTACAATTCACCGATTTTCTCGCACAGAACATTAAATAAACATTTTGTTCACTCTCTCCACACCCAAGACTATCGTCTTTCGACGACAATTGCACTGAAACATGCAGATACAGGGCCAATTTTTTTTATATGCTTCACCGCACCATACTCTCGTACTACGGCAAAGCTGCTTTTAATGTTGAGCTACGATCTAAAACGGATTGGCTCAAAAGCTCTGGTTCGAACTTATGCAGTAGAAAATGTCATTTCAGGCCGAAGTCAGAAAAAATGAGACCAAAATTTTGAGCATCCGAAATTTCAGACGTTTTTGTACACTGACATCTACAGGGAAATCTGAATAGCAACTTTGAATCTGAAGGGAGCACGCCTTTTTCTACCATATCAGTTAGGCTTTCACACAAGTTGAAAAGGTGGAGGAAATAGTTGTTTCCTTTCACATGTAAAGCACTGTCAAGACCATGTTGGTTTCACCTAATCATGTAAATAAATAAAATTTGGTCTCTGCATTGCCTCATCCTTGATAAAACAACTAGCTAACACCATCTTTGTAGCAGTTAATCAACCTAGCCAAAAGAAACACTTCGATGTTCCTATTTCATAGGAATGTGCTTAGGTATCCCACATAACTTTTTTCTGTAACATTACTTCAATGTATCCAAAAAATATTAAACAAAAAATTGACAACTATTAAAAAAATATTAGGTTCGATTTGCACCCAAAATTTGCTATTCCCACAGCTCTAGTAATCTACTAGAGCTCTGGTTACATCCTCGTAGGCACACAGTTTTAGTAAGCTCAAGTGGCTGTAGTGTTTTTTTTTCTCCTTATAACAAATATTTCTATTTTGACTTGCCCCTTAACATTTGAAGAGGAAGAAGAGCAGCACTAACATCAACAAAAAGGCCTTTTCAATGGCGGCCACTTTCATTGAATTACATGAGTGGAGAGGGGTTTACCGATGTCCACATTCCAATGTCTCCTGTGAGCACCCAGCCACCTTCGAGCACCGTATTTGCAGTCTCTTTGGGATTTTTGTAGTAACCTTGGAAGGTCAAAGGGCTGCGAACACAGATCTGAAAACAACAGGGAAGGAATAAAAGAGAATACCATATTTCCTTTTTGTATGGCCTGTGAGTTCACATTTTGAAAGACTAAGAAAAAAACAATAAAGTTTATGAAAAGGCTGCTATCAGTAATGAATGCACAAGAGTATCAGCACAAACTTGATGATGGTGATGCTGTGTAGCCGATGCTTGATTGATTTGTGGGGTTTTAACGTCCCAAAACCACCATATGATTATGAGAGACGCCATTGTGGAGGGCTCCGGAAACTTTGACCACCTGGGGTTCTTTAACGTGCACACAAATCTGAGCACACAGGCCTACGACATTTCCGCCTCCATCGGAAATGCAGCCGCCGCAGCCGGGATTTGAACCCGCGACCTGCGGGTCAGCAGCCGAGTACCTTAGCCACTAGACCACCGCGGCGGGGCATGTAGCCGATGCTGTGTAAGCTTTCTTGGCATATAAGCAGTAGTTCCATAACGCACAATTTGTTAAACATCTGTAAGCAGGCATTCCTGAATATTTATGAATAAATATCTCATTAACAGAATGCTTTTCTTGCTTTGAGTGAGCTCGTCACTCCACATTCCAGCAAGGATGCATAATCACCATGTAAGCTTTTAAATAAACTATAACGAGAATTTCATGCCTTGCTGCTTACCCCTAGCCTAAATGCGATTACCAGAGCTCGTCACTCCACATTCCAGCAAGGATGCATAATCACCATGTAAGCTTTTAAATAAACTATAACGAGAATTTCATGCCTTGCTGCTTACCCCTAGCCTGAATGCGATTACCAGAGAATTATTGACTTAGTACACACTGCGATGGAGAAAGAGAGCAAGAAAGAAAAAACAGGAACGAGTCCTGTATAGAAAAAAAAAGAAACAAAAAAAACTTTGTTCTGCTAGTATGAAGCAGAGTTTATATTTTTGGAAAATTGATCGATTGGATCGTTCGTGCGCATGCAGTGTCACATTTGTAAATTGACCACTGATGAAGCTGTCATGGCACAGCGGGCATGCTCTGCAATCACACCATCATCTAGACATCCTTTTGTAAGAGTGCAAATGAAAAGAATAAGTGAGTAAAAAACAAAGCCTCTAACCTCTCCCTTGTCGTCTTTCGCAAAATAGTTCATCTCTGGAACGTCAACCAGCTTCATTTCAACTTCGGGGAAAAGGCAGCCAACATTGTCTGGGGGGGGGGGGGGGGATAGAAAGTGATTGTGGTTATATTGGGCAAGCCCCACAGTCATGCACTCATCTCACTAATAAGGCATTGCAAATGGAGAGCAAACAGATAAAAAAAATATAATAATGCAGCCACACTGCAGCCACATGGCTTTTAAAAGTAAATCTGATTTGGCCCTTGCTTACACCCTGGTGCACATATTTCATCACTGGCAATGACTAGTGTAAGTGTGCAAAATAGGTTTACCATGTTATGAAATGTACTGCTAAGAAATTTCATAAATATGCAACAGAAAAATTATGATCGAGGCAAAATTGGAGCAGTGTTCACTTCTAGCCAAAGTAATGTACTGAATACTGGCAAACAACTGAAGTGAACAAAGAACACATGGATAGATATGTTAGTGTTTTACTAGACATCAATCACATAATGAAAAATAACCATAGTCGCTCACCTCCTCCTACGAAGTCATATGGCAAGGTGCTTGAAATCACACTGGCTTCAGTGCTGCCATAAACTTCAACAAGCTAGGAATGGCAAACGACAAAAAGCAGAGATACTTTTATTATAGGGGCATATGGAGCAGAAAGACAATCTTTGGGCCTAGAGAGTACGAACACTTTCTGTGCGACAATGTTGACAGTAGACATCATATTGTAAAACATATGCATTTTAATTTCTTTTAGAAATGTTTCACGATTCATCTATAGGTGGCTGCGAGAGCTTTAGATGCAGCCAAATCTCGTGGCATCTTGAAGAGCACTTCTATGAAGCTTCTTTAGCAAAATAAAGATGCTAGGGAACAAAAATGAAGTTAGGTTCTCTTTCAGCAGCTCATTGAAAAAAAAAAAAAAAAGCTGACACTCATTTTTAAGCTACTGCAAGGAAAAATTCTTAACGAAAACCCAGAGATAATAAAGCCAGGGATGGTGTAGGAGAAGTTAATTGTGCTGTTTTAACTGTATTGCAGTAATCATGATATCAATGTGAACAAAGTGAAAGGGATGGAAAGACAACTTGTTAGAGCATTGAGCATGCAATCAGAAGCCTGCAGGTCTGGTCTGTGCTGGTGGCAAGTGGCCTTTCTGTCCACTTTTCCTTTCTTAACATTTATTAATATTCCTACTATACTGCTATAATAGTATAATTAAATTCGTTGGCTTCACTATCTGTTGGTTTTCATTAAAGGGCCAGTAAAGAACTCAGAAGTCCAAAAATTTTATGCAGATAAATATGTGCACTTTTGCTGCGCGAACATGCTGCCACAAGAGTTTTGCGACACGTGCTGTATTAAAGAAGTTAGAAGGGTTAGAACATTCGTTTCGACTTTTTTTCAAATTTTCACGCGGCCTCACCACCCTTCTCTCTCGCAGGGAAGGGAAGGCATAGCCAGTCGTCGTGACTGGTTTAGACCAATCGGTGACTGTGCCGATGCATATGAAAGGAGTACTGATCAAGCGTAGCAAAGGAGCGCGGAAATTGTTTTTCAATATGGAGGCTCTGCGCGGCACGCAGCTTTGCAATATTGGGAAAACGCGATTGCCGCCGCCTACTCTACGAATTTCCGAGCTTTTTTCGGAGGTGTAAAGAAAGAAGTCAGAGCCTGCTGACTGGTACTTTAAGGTTGTGTGAAACGAACAAACAAACCAAGGCATTAAAATTCTTTTCATTCATTCATAGGGTGGGTCTCATTCTGGCAGACTTGATGACTTTAGGTATGATGCGGGGGCTTATTAGCCAGCTGTCCACTCGTTGTTAAAAATATCCCACGCTACGTGATGCCATCAGAAAAACAAAGAACTGTTTCACACTCTCCGTCATGGCTACGAGCGGCATTGACTAGCGCTTCCAGGTTTGCATGCACATAAATACCTGAAAAGTGGATGAGAAAATGACTGGTACCGTAGCGTTATCTGAAGGTTGCAGCTTCAGCCCCTGCTGTCTGCAAGCTCTTTTGTTTTCTCATCCTCTTTTGTTTTCTTTTAGTGTATATCCCAATAACCAGAATCATATAAAACAGCACAATTAAAATTCCCTATACCAGGGCTCCCAAACTCATCTCGGGCAGCTAGCCGCAGAATTTAGTCCCACAAGGTCCAGAAAGAATGTAAGAGCAAAGGTGGGGGGAGGGGGTGCAGGGTGTCAGTTTGTACACATTATCAGCAGACACTACCTCTAGGAAAAAAAAAAACCTTGCAGTATCTCATGTAAGAGTCATTTCTCAAGGAAATTTGTGGCCAGGATTCTATCCAATGACATTTCAATACTAGTCTTGTGCGAATAGTGGACTTTAGGTTCGAAGCGAACACAATTTTGTTCGAACAATTTCGAATGGAATTCGAATACTATATCATATATTATAAAGAAAAATGGGCATATTTGTCATGACCTATCTAATCAGCATAATATTTTTTTTTTTAATTTCAAACAAGGCCTGTGTAAATGTCTGTCTTTTTCAAGGAGAGTGGCAACAATTTCGAATAATAGCAGTATTTGACTTTCAGAAGAATGCAAGTGATACCTGTGAAATATGTTACATTTCAAAATGCACTATATTTCAAAGCATATAAGATATGATGAATTGATGCGAGGGTAGTATGTTAATTTAAGTATAAAGGAAAGCTTCGCGGCAGTTGAATTTCTCCTGGATTTCTTCTACTGCAACTGCAATGAAACGACCTTAACAGGGGCTATATGCGGGCTGATATACGTCTATTCGTTCATCTCGAATACTTCGAAATTTTTGATAATTTAAATTTGAATCGGAAGCGAATTCGAATGCTGTAATGTTCGTTCGAATATTTGCACAAGCCTGCTCAATACCGATCTCAAAAATTAGCAAAATCTGGATACCAATTCTGGAATACTGTTTTGTTTTACGGTTACGCTTCAAGACGAAACCACGTGAGGTGCCTCACAAAAGCAATGCTCTACACCAGTCATGCCTGCGTAGTTCATGAACGAACTTATTACGAAAAAAAAATTAACGAACATATCCATATGCGGGCCATGGGCTGCACTGCGAGAGGCTCGCACTCTTCGTGTTTAAGACCCCTGCCCTCCAACTTGCATTGGCTTTGTTATCAGTCGGCTTCCATTAATATACATAGAAAGTGGTCTCTATGAAAATAGATACATCGCACGAAATATATGTTATGTTAAGGCTATATATTCAGCAAATACGCTTACATGGCAACCAAAAACACATCTGAAGAACTCGAGAACTTCTGCCCTGGCTGGTGCAGAGGTCGTCAAGCCATACTGAAAGCTGCCGCCGAGCTCCTCACGTATCTTCTTGAAAATGTACTTGTCCCAGACTGTGTCAGTTGTCACAATGCCCCTGGATAAATTGAACATGAAGCATGCATTGAACACGCTCAAACAGCAAAGGGCCTCTGTGCACAGACATAACAGCCAGCATGATGGATAGAAAAAATTCGATTTTAACTATTAGTTATAGTCATGGTGTTCTGAATTTCAGAGTGATTTGGGTACGAGTGAGAAAGCAGTACATAAAGTGCTTAGTCAAGATTACCAGTGAAACAAACAAGCACTTAGGACAAATGGAGCATAGCAGAGACTATATATTGTTTAAAAACATAATGTAATTATCATAACCTAAATTAAGAGTACCATATTTACTTGCATAATGAACACACTCGCATAATAAATGCAACCCCTACATTAATCTGCTGCCGTCTTGCGAACTGACACCTGGCGCCTTTTCACCTGTTAGATCTCTTCCGTTTATTACTTTGCCGACACGTACTTCGGTCACCTCTGCTAACTCTCCCTACTCCCCCCTGCCCATTGCCGTGTGCCGTATTGTTTTTCTTTCTATGAATGCGTGGCACGTCCCCCATCTTATCTGTGCATCACAGTGGGTTCACGAACAGTGCGAGTGTAGAGATGCAGCTGATAAGCACAAAGCGAGCAAAGGTCGCGAAACTGCCCACGCCATTCGGCGGTTGCTTCCTGTGAATACAAAAAAGCACAACCATGTGCGCCCGATCATTGAGCGACGACGACAGAGTTTGCTGTGGCGAGGGGTCATTCGTCGCTATCGCGCTGTAGGTTTTTGAAAACCAGAAAAATCGCTTGTCTAAAAAATATTGCGACGATTTCTGCAACATGGTAGCACCCTTGATTTTCGCTTCGCTTGTTATCCGCGCATAGAGGAACTTCTCATGTAGAAGCGAGGTGACGACCTTATTTTGTCGTTAATCTTGTTGTCGGCGGTTTGTTTTGATGCTTCGGGGGTAGCTTGCTGCAATGTTGGTTACTTGATACAATGTTAACAGCGTCGTCACGGTCGACATGCGAGGTAGCCACGAAGTTGGCAAAGTGCTTCGCTGCACACGCTTTTTGGATGCCCCTCGTCATCACAGCAGATACCCCTGTTGCGGCTAAACGATTGCGAGAAAAGATAGCTGCAAAAACGCTTTTATGGCATGTGCGGGCGGCGTGGGGACAGCTTGCAGAAGATGACGTCATTGTCACAAACGTCCGCAATCTTCGTTTCGTCCGCACGCCCCATCGTCCAAGGAAGGGCGCTTTTGTGTTGGGCACTTTTGTGTTGGGAAGATGACATCGGGCGACTGGCGATGCAGTGGCGGCGCCGCCGTGTCTTCCCTCCACCTGTACCGAAAGGAGAAACATGTGTCGAGGAAAAAGACATGACCTCGAGAGGGGACAGGACGTCCCGAAAGAGTTTGGACTGCATGGGAATGAGCAGTTGACGTGCATCCGGCAAGAAGTGCGCTCGTGGGTGTTGCGAGTCTCGCGTAGGCGGCGAGCATGGAGTGAACCACGCAACGTATCGAGACGACTGCAATACCGGGCACCCTTGTCATCTACTAAGATGGCGAGATCTTCAGCGACACCCTGTCAACTCCCCTACGTGTACCAAGAGCTGGCCTGGTCCGTATGGAACTTTTTATTGTGACTTCTTTAAAACTTATTTTATTATAACCAGCCTTTAATTAAGTGTAGTTGTGTGCACTGCGTCGCACATAAACATTCAATAGCGCGAGCCTGAGATTTTTTTGTACATTTTATTGGTATCTCCTGTTGTTTCATAGTGTTGTTATTTTACTAACATTCCACGAGTGTTTTGTCTGTGCCAGTTGTGTTTTTTAAAGCATTTCTCGTTTTGTAGCTGTTTTTTTCAATCGCGTATCAGTTCTCTTTCCCTTAAGTTAATTTTTGTCAACTCCTGCTTTTGCCCTCGTGTTAATTAAATGCTTGTTTGATTTGTATGAAATCTCCGTGTCTGCTCTACGAGTGCATCGGTCAGGCCCATACCTCACCACACGTGCAACCCAGCACGGGTCGACTGACCTGCAAATAAATTTGAGATGTGCCACTTCGAGGCCTTTCAGGCGTCTCAGGCCAAAGCGTAAAGTGGAAGCCTGCGAGTCTGCCGCACGTCGATGTTAGATCGGCGGGGCCTCACCCGAAGTGTGTGACAGTCATCGACCACCGAAGATGAATAAAGTGCAACAAAGAAGCTGTTTCCAAACAGTGTACGCGTATGTCGATTGCGAAAAGCTAACGACCTAACTTTTTTTTTTTTTTTTTTTGCATTACCACATTTTTCGCTCCTCCCGATAAATCTTTAATAAAATTTACACCATGTGAAAACGCACCTCCCAACTTTGCTCCGATGTTTCGAGAAAAAAAGTGCGTTCATCATGCGAGTAAGTACGGTAATTAAAATGGATAAAGAAGCACCTTTTTTGTCGGTGACCTTCGAACCCATAAGCTTCGAATTAAGTGCTGGCTAACACGTCCAAGGATTAATACACATAACTACCCTACAGAGGAGGAGATCCCTCTGCTGTAGCTCAATTGATAGAGCATCAAATGCATAATTTATGGTTGTGAGTTTGGATCCCACTGATGGGAAGGGTGCTTTTTCGTCCACTTAAATTAGTTCCAATGAAGGTCCTTATTACTACATTACAGTTTATAATAGACAAGAAATGATGTCTAGTATGTTTTTCTTGACCTGACTGTACATTAAATCCATGGCTTAATAAAAAAAAAATCCAAGCCCCTCAAACACCTCTTTTTTTGTAATAGTCAGAATTTCCTATGTTAAATAGGAATGCCTGAGAGATAATGCTGGGTTTACAGCTAAAGTGCACTTGTCAAAATACTTGCTTCAACATGACCTCTTGTTTGAGCACCGTTGTATACAGAAAATTTTCAAAACACTCAGACCTCTTTACAACAAAGTCATACCTGCCCTAAAAACACTTCGTTATGTCTAATAAGTCATTATAAATACATATCTATAGCACTATACCTATGACAGAGCTATTTTTCATTTACTTCATGATAGCTGATATGTTGTTATATCCAGGTTTGTTATATCGAGGTTTGAGTGTAAGACATGATAAGTGGATTTGTAGTCCCTTTAAATGTACATACACAAAGCTTCACTTTTCTAGTCAGTATAACCTTGCTATCAACAATATTCTGTAATTGCATGCAGTAAGCAGCACATAGCAACATTGTACGACATTGAGATGGTATAGCTTTGTGGCATTATAGTGTCAATTAAATGGCAAAAATGTTTGCACCAATTACTTCTCAAGCAGCTTGCGTTTCCGGTTTACAGCATAGTTGAACACTGCTGTCTTGATAGCACTCTTGTGAATTTCAGAGTGAACCTGCAAAGAATGAACAGTGCTTGAGAGGAGCAGGAGGGTGGTTATTATTGTGAAAAGCAAGTACACACAAGTGGAACTGGAGCTATGAACCAATGTCACCACTAAAATGAAAATGGCAACTATAGATGAGCCAAGAACATGGAGGCCTAAGAGAAGTGTTTCCGTGGAGCTGAAAAAACCTTTAGTGGAAGTAGCCTTTATGACAGTTCCCCAGAGAACAGCTTGGGAATACTTTATATAAAAACAACATTTAAAAGAATACCAAATTGAGCTATTTTGGAAGACTACAACACAATTATTTGTTGAAAGTAGCATTTTGTTTGGAAAGGGCGTGCTTGTTTCAAAAAATTGATCATTTCATACAGGTAATCTTACCCTCATAGAACTTCAAAGCAAGGACACGAGGCTGTATTTACTCAAATGCAACACATTTTTTTTCTCTCCCGTTTTTTCGCTACCTAAAGCTGACCTTCACGTTACAATCTAACATTGAAATACAGTAAAAGCTCGTTGATTAAAACTCAAATGGGACAATAAAATGGTTCGAATTAAGCAGAGCGTGAATTAGGAAGCGGGTGCATACATGAACAGAGATCAGGACACACTGCGTGAGCCGAACCCTTAGAAGCCACCCCTGGACTTGTTATCACAAGTTAGGCACTACTACGGTACTCATTTCTGGCAGATTTTGTAAATTGAATGCATAGAGCACTCACAGCTTACAGAATTACTTGATACATCAGTGATTATTCCACAAAGAACCACCGAAAAGAATTCATGAGAGAATTGCGCCCTCAATGTCAAAATATATGATGTTATATTTGTGCTCCAAAACACATTTATTTGCATGGCAGAGTTAATGACACAAAAATTAAAATGTAAGCAGCAATTTGCATTTCTTTGCATTTCTTGTGTCGCAACTTCATGAACATCATTCGTAGCATCTGCAAAAGTTCCTGCACAGCATCCATATTGTGATCTGAGAAATGCTCCTATTTCATTGTTTTGCAACACAGTTTTGTTAGTTTTCAACACATTGGGACCACTGCAGGTCTACTTCTGCTAATAGAGATGAAAACCAGGCTCTCCCAGTTGAAATTAACCATCGTTTATTCCCACGTGTTCGAATCATTGGGAGTTTTTACCCATAGAAATACACAGGGCTGGTCTGTGACAAGGTCATCAGTTCGAATGAACAAGGTTTCGTATTGCTTTCATCCTGGATGCACTGAACAGTCACCTCTCGCGTTTCAATTTAGTAAATAATCTATATCAACTATCTCAGTGATATGATTGATTGAAGCAGCTTTGGTACAGCTTCTGGAGCAAATAAAACCCTACTTTGGAGTAGCAAATTAGCCTTCTGGAGCTGTTACCAGTTGCCCACATTTCAAAAGCAAATATTCATCTATCTAATATGGACCAGTTCAAGATTGCTTAAGGTGTTCACTACAGTGTGGGTCGCCAGTGGGTCACGACCTGTGCTTCTCCTACGCGGCTGCGATGTTACGAGCATGCATTCGTGTGCTCATGTGATAACTTCATCACACATGAACCCAGAGGTAAAATTCTTGTTGCAAGGGATTATAAATAATCGGAACGAATTTTTTCTGGTGTTGGATGCCATTACCCATTGGTGACCCACCGGTGGGTCATTCCACAAGTAAAAAGAGACTTCAAGAAAGCTTGCTGCAGCGAACATGTTAAGTAATCCAATACGTGCACACATGAATGAATTGTGTTATCATGCAGTGCCATCAGTTGGTCCGGTAAAAAAAGCTGAGTGATGACACCATGCAAACAGTGGAGAACTTTGATTTTGAACCGAGCGTCGCAAAGAGAAGCCGTGATCACCGAATGTTGAAGAGAAACTGCTTGGTCAGCGCTATGGTCGACATAGAAGGGCTCATCAAGCTAATGAATATGAAAAGAATTTGTTCTTGCATATTCTTGAATGCCTGTATTTGAGCGCAATTTATTATTGATATCTGCCACTCCTGCTAAATCCATTTTAGATGTACTGCGAGTTACCGAGCCAAGCGTGCATGTATGGGAGATTTTTGTATACTACTTTGACTGAGAATACATCATGTTAACAACACTTGGCTCTAACTTTGGAACAGCACCGGCGTTCGCTTGTACACTAGAAAAGGCCCACTCTTAAATTGTTTCTGCTTTCACGGTGCATTTCAAGAGGCAGATACGTCAGCCCTTGGAACTTACCCAGTAATCACCCTCATAAACGGGTTCGTGACATAAGGCCATCTTAGGATAAGTTTGTGGACGACAGCAGTAGTGGCAGTAAACTGACTCGAATGCTTTGGCATCCATATTAACAGTTTGTAAAGTTGAAGTCCACAAAAAGACCACATCTGTTCAGAAACAATGTGTTGCTTGTAGAACAATATGGAAATAAAATTACTATAACTGTCATTATTATTATTATTTATTCTTTTTAAGCAGGAGGAAACTGAGCAGTCATGCAGAGTGCACCAAATGTGGCAAGTGCTTTAGAGAGACAAGTGGAGAAGAGAGCAGTAAATTGTGCAGGCTTCAAGCAAACGGAAAGAAAAGAAAGAAGCTTGTACACTAAGCAAACTTTTGGCATAGCACATATGATCATGCATCCACAAGCCTGGTCACTAGTTCTCACTATGATCTGTCTTGCCTCATCTGTGGTAAGCCTCATGGAGCTGTCAATGAAAGCAGAGGTAGGGCACTGTTGCATTGCCACTGCAAATTCCAAAAAATTAGTATGCTAGAATCGGACAATGCACGTGACCTGCATAATTCTTCATTAGCGACTAAATTTCCCACTGACAGCAGGATTTTCCTAGCTCAACAAAATACCTCGAAGACAGCACCAGCAGCACTTCAACATCTCTGATACTTGGATGCCATTCTTGGAGCCTGTGCCACGTGTAAGTCTCAGTCACAGTGTCTGCAGTTATTTGACATTGAAGTCTTTTTTGCTGGCTAATTTTTGTCAGCAAAATTGGGGACTCACATCAGTGTTCAGCTAGCTGCTTTAAATTAACTAGCAGAAATCATTCACATTTCATCACAGTTTTTCCTTCTGTTTGGATACTGCAGGGCCACACACTGTACCTTGTAATAGATGCGATTGAGAAGACGAGGCACCATGGGAAGGTTGGAAGGTTTCAGTGCCTTCATATCATCCAAGAGAAGCTGCACATTCCCTCGGTAGAAGCCCAGGGTTGCACCACGCATCAACGTAGTCACCTGGGAATCATACAAAGACAATGAATCGTCAAATTAGGTAAACTGGCTATGATGCACAACATCTATTATCCATGTGCATTTAATATCTTGAACTTTGTAAAGTAAGCAAGTTCTTGAAGGAAGGAGGTGTTGTGGTGCCACCTGTGTTATTTTTAATTGTCTCGTGGCGCCGCCCGTGCCGGGGACTGGGACGGTGGTTTCTGAAAAAAGGACTTGGCTTTGTCGCGCTGATGAGTGCGGCCGCATCTCTTGTGTCGGGACTCCAACGGCATCTAGTGCCCCAGCGAACCTCCAAAACGCAACAGTTACCTTCTCTGTTGCCTCATGTGTATCACTATCTGACCACGCTTTTACTCTGTCCGACCTATGTATATAAGGTTGGAATTGTAATGGAACTGGTAACCGTTGAAAATGAGTCTCTAGATGTTAGTGCAAATGGAAACAGTACGAGCAGGACTGACAGAATCAAGCACGCTTGCTCTTTCAATTTGAGCAATAATGAATTATTTGCAGCAATCTGCAGAACGGCTTTCCTGCGAGATTTAAAAAAAAATTGAGCACTCCTGCTCACAGATTTCTTTTGTCGCTTGTGCTTTTGCGGCTCCCAATTCCAGTGAAAGTACGCAACACCAGGAATGCTTTAAAAACATTAACTGGGATTGTCATGCCTCGCTGCTGCCGCCCAGACTACGCTTAGTGAATGAGGAACCCGTTCAAGAAAGTTGCTCGGGGATGAACTTTTATTGGAACTGAAAGCAGCAAAAGCGCTACAAGTGAGTAAACCAGTCTGTGAACAAGGATATCTCGTTCAGTAGGGGGGGGGGGGGGGGAATCATAACAGAAAAGAAGACTCGGAGATTTTCGCACATTATCTATTGTGATATAAAATTTGCCAAAAATGCTGCAAGAAAATAATATGCTGCACAAGCATTGCGGAAAAGCATTAGTATAACATACCAAGATTGCTGTACGAACTTCATTTAGTACACAGTTAAATTCTTGCCTAAAACTACACCATTTATAAAATATAAAAAGCATTTTCGCTTTATTTTATGTGCATTATGCAGCCAAATGTAATGCCGGCAAAAGGTACTTTTGTGGCAACAAAACTGCAACAGCAAACCTGTGGCAAACTGTAGCATCCCACATTGCATGATTATACACAAGTGCTTAGCTAAACTTGGACTTTTTACTTGTGAATGACCAAAACAGTCAAACCCAAAACTAACAAAGCATGTACTATACTATCCAGTATTGTATAAATTAATAAATAAAGCCTTCAGGGAATATGAAATGCATCGATAATTGCCTTCATAAGCTATTAACTATGTGCAGCTAGGGCTGCACTTTCTACACTCTTGAGTCAAGAAAAAAAGGGTGAATTTGGGGCTTTTCTGCTACACAAGAATAGTCGCTATTCGGCTTGCTTGTATTTCCTTTCTTACACAATGTGCATTTCATTTTGCTACTTTCACTATGTGCACACATTGTTTGTCAAGTGTTGCCTTTGGTTGGGGGTTGCCTTCACAAAATCGTATAGAACCCTCATCGGATTGACCGACAATGCGGAATGCGACGTCTGCTGCGCCAAAGAAGACATCGACCATTTGATATGCCATTGCCCTCGATTTGCCTCTGAAAGACGGAAGCTTTCGGATGCATTGCGACAATTGGACGATCGGCCACTCTCTATGCAGATGCTACTGGAACACCGTCCTCGCCTTTCGTCGGCTCAAAATGTAGTCAAAGCTGTTTTGTGCTTTTTGAGGACTACAGGCCTATGTGACAGCCTTTAACTTTTGTGTAGTGCCACCGCTGTATACGTGCCAGCCGATTGACTGACAATCCCTTTTTTTTCTCTCTCTCTTCTCTTTCCCCTCCCTCTCATCTTTATACCCCCTTCCCATTCCCCCAGCGTAGGGTAGCAAACCGGGCAGGTGCCTGGTTAACCTCCCTGCCTTCTCTTTTGTTGTTCATCTTTCCCCCCCCCCCCATGCAACAATAGTGAAAGTTAAGCATGCAAGACGGATAACGATTATTGTTTGGCAGAAATATGTGTCAAATATGCCCTTTCCTTCAAAGCAGGGCTGCGTACCAGTGGCAGCATGTAAAAATATCAATCTTATCACCACTCTTTCTAGCTTGTTTCTAGCATACGACTAGTCTTTCTGTAGGTTGAAGGTACTGACAAAAAATGTTTAACAAGTGTTTTCTGCATTACCACAATACAAATAGGTACACTGATGACAAGTAAGAGTTTTGTTGTAGCAAAACACTTGTTGCATAATTGGTTGTCAGTCACTTTAATGAAGTTCCGGCCAGCAGAGTATTCAGGAACTGAAACACAAAGATTTAGGGCTAATTGATGCACATACTTATGCTCCCAGCACCTACAGTTCATGTAAGAGCAGCGTAGTTTTCACTTGAAAACTTACACCAGAGCCAAGATTACATTACCTTTGGTGGCGAATTTCTAGCGACATGACGTAGCTTTCGCGAGCAACTGTTCATAGCAATGTTCATACTAAAAGAAACAACGTTGCCTTTCAATCTGTAAGCACTGTACAAATTTCAAGGCAGCCATTGAAGTCCTTAACGCATTTTTTGGACCTTATGTTAAAGATCAAGGTCCATAGCATGCTAATTGTAATAATTAGGGCCCTTTGGAGCCTGATGTTATGGGAGGGCATGCGCATCCTTGTGCAAACCTCTTTACTGTATAAACCACAACAGTATTCCATGAGCAATGTATGAAATCTTTGGACATTGTTGAACCACCCTATGCAAAGCTTTGACTTCCAACTTTGGTTTAAGGCACAATAAATTATCCGCCATCTTCTTATTTTCTTAGAGATGGTTTCAAGTATGCTAGGAAAAACATAGGAAAACAAAAGGACGGAAAGAAGAAACAGGAGGGAAAAGAAAAGCAGGGATGTTAACGAATCTAGAAGGACCGGTATGCTATCCTACCCTAGGGAAAGAGGCAGGGGAGATTCAAAGATAGAGAAAGTGAGATAGAGCAAGCACACACAAAGTCACCACTTCACAGTGACCCCAACATCTTAAGTGTGTAACTGCCGGTGCAACTGTCTGTTGCCTTCAAGAAGATGAGCCCCCCCCCCCCCTTCGACGCCTTCTTAAACGTAACTGCTGCTTACATGAAACAACTTCCTTTGATATGATTGGTTTCAGACTTGCACTCTGCACCCCTGTTCCCCTCTTGGTTAACAAAACTTCCGCTTGTATAGAACATAGTCTCCTGGTTTTTTCACATTTCATTTAATGACAGTCCCCTGTACAGCCATTGTAAGCTTATTTACAATAAAATGACTTGTCATGCCATTAACTGAATATGCTTATCAAATTTCAGGTTGAGATTGTCGCTGCCTTCGTTAACAGAATTAAGTTTAGTACATTTATTGATGTGCTGTTCCATTCTTAATTTTGCTGCAATGATAGCACGCAAGAGTGTGTTTTATACTTACCTCATAGATGTGTTCATAAATGTGGCCTGTTGGCAGATAGCAGAAACAGACATGCCCTGGCTCTGCCCTCATTGGCTGTTAATGAGAGAAAAGTGCATATGTTGAAGCATGTACTTTTGTCCTATTGCAGTGATAATACGACATTTTGATTTTTGGAGCAGATCCTAGAGCAGGAAAAATGGTTCTTTGAAGCAGCCTTTATTTTTGGAGCAGAAAAAATGCTAGCTTGGAGCAGCTATTGATGTTTTCAGAGCAAAATACTTCGAACAACACCTTGAGTTCAAAGCATCATTTAAGCCTTTTATGTATATTATTATTAAACATACTGCACATACAATAATCACTGCAAATTTCAATATTCATAATTAGGCAGATAGATAGTTTTCGAACACTAAGTAAGTGTGGTTTTCATATTTTGCGAAAGTAGTCGCAATAAAATTTTCAAAAATAAAATAACCTGAACGAAGTCAAAGCTGGTGAAAGTGCTAAATGTAGTCAGTCACATATCAAAGCTTTCACAACAGCAGCTATACGACTAAGAAATCTTGCACACATTTCACCAAAATAGTCTGCTTGTAAGGTACAAATATATAACTATATCAGACATATATATGTAGAAAATGCGAGTATGTGTAGCATTGTCAATATCCTAGTACACCCAGCTACTATACAAGCTGTATACTAGATGACAGTATACAGCTTGTTTTTGTTTAGGCTTGCTGCATGCTCACATGGTTTAACTTCAGTGTTTTAAGTTTCGCCACTGCCATTTCGGAACAGGTTTGGGGCAGTTACAAAAAAATGTTGCCCTTCGGAGCAACATCGAGCAGCATTTCTCTTTTGGAGAAGTTTGGTACAATCGGAGCAGCACTTCCATCACTGGTAATGAAAGCATGGACTCTGCAAGCAACATTCAACTCTTCGTTCGTTTATGAAATTATATGGCATTGTGTTGCTGCAGTTAATTGACGTATGCATGTGGAACCTCAAGAGACAAGAAGAGAGTAGAGTGGATTAGGGAACAAACGGAGGGTTAAGAATATCATAGTTGAAACCAAGAAAAGAAAATGGACATGGGCCGGGCATGTAGCGCGTAGACAGGATAATTGCTGGTCATTAAGGGTAACTAACCGGATTCCCAGAGAAGGCAAGCCAGTTAGGGGGAGACAGAAGGTTAGGTGGGCAGATGAGATTAAGAAGTTTGCGGGTATAAATTTGCGGGTATAAAAGCAAGCATAGGACCGGGTTAACTGGCGGAACATGGGAGAGGCCTTTGTCCTGCAGTGGATGTAGTCAGGCTGATGATGATTATGATGGTGTTGCTGCAGCAGATGCGGAAGAAACAACTAAGAAAACTGATGTTTTAGACCAGCTGGATATCAACTCCCTTGTGAATGTTAAACATGTCACAAGTTTTGATCAACTGGGTTCAAAACAACTATTTTTGTTTTTTTTGCATACAGTTTTCATGCCAGATTACTGTGATACGCCGATTTATTCTGTAACCCTCTCTGTTTAGATGAGAGTTTGTTTTTAAGAAGCACATGAAATGTTTGATATTTCAGAAACTGCATTATGTACTGCAAAAAGAACTGCATATTTGAAATCTGCACAGATATAATGAAACTTGGCAAGTTTTATCAAGATCTATCAATTGCAAGAAATTTTTTTAAGACCCGTGTCCACCAACAAGTGCTGTTGCCACATAGTACTTAACCCAAAGTGGTTGCTTATTTATAAATAGAGGCACTGTGCGGTAGGTGGAACTGGGGTCACTATGTTTTTTGAACCATTTGCATTCCATGTTTGCTCAAAAAAAAAAAAGAAAACATATGCCTTTCCTTTGGCCCAGACTGAGGCAATTGTATCTTTGACAAATAAAGGCATCATGGCATGACCTCTTACCCCTGCCAGATGGTTGATGGTAGTTGGCTGTCTTCACGAGTCTCTTGTGTGTGACAGGCACTCCCTTGGGCATTCCTGAAAAAGGCATAGAATTAAAACACAATTCCAAATCTCTGCAAGCTTAGGAAGCTAGGCTTTCTATGAAACAGAAAAAAAAAAAACAGAACATGAAAGCAATACAACACTAAATTTTTGCAAATTTGTTATTCTCTTGATCAGCATTTCTACAGGAGCACCATGAGCCCTACCATATTCAATCGCATAATTTGCACACTTTCACGACATTGGAGCTTCAAGAACTGAATGTGCAAATTACATGGGGATTTCGCGAATGCGTACAAAATAATGTGCAATAGTCCTAACGCATGCAGTATATACATTTAAAGAAACAATAACAAATTTGTGCACAAACGAAGTGTGCTTGTTTATTTTACAGTATTAGCACATACTTTAACCAGTCAGATCTGGTCACTTGCTGCCTAGTCGAGTCATTTATCGAAAGGTACGATAGGGAATCATAGTCGTGACTGATGTCACCGTCCTCCAAAATGCATCGTCTTCGGTTCCGTTGAGCGCGTTCGAATGTCCTATATTCTTTAAGCTCTTCTCGAAATGTTGGGAGAAACTAGGTCACACTGACACGGCAATACTGGAGGACTCAAGCGTCCGCACATAATTGAAAAGCCCTTCTTTAACAGCAGGAATCTTGTAATAGCAAGCGTCCATTCTGCGAGTGGTTTGACACCCACATCCACCCGGACGACACAGTGATTCTGGAAAAAGAAAAGAACACCTGCCAGCGACTCCTCCTCGAATCCTGGCACATTCAGCAGGGAACATCAACCACTCCACTGAGACATAGCCCTCCCTCTACTGCCAGGGTTTGTGACGGGTCACGGGGAACCTCTCATGCAAGGCGAGCAAGCGTATATAAGCACCACACAACTCTGGCTTTCTCACCCCTGAGGAAGAAGTCTGTCTGGCTTCGAAACATTGGGTTCCTGAATACAATATTTGGTAGGAGTTTTCCAATTGCCTCATTCCTATCCCAACCAGGCAGACTTCTGCCAAATGTTCACCTTTGATAACAAGAAAGTTGACACTGCTTATGTGATTAAGGGCTGACAATTGATCTTAAGCTCAGCTCAGGAAAATTTCCTTTACTGACCTTTTGTTGTTAACATTTAATAAGGGCCACACATTTTTCACCCCCCTGTTAAAGCTTAAATTCCGAACCCTACTACAAATAAGTATAAAATTGAGAACGCAGTGACTTCCTACACAACTGCAAGTGTGAGGGTACGTCAACGTTTTACGCTATTATAGTCCGCCAATAAACAACAGGACAATAACGACCAGCTATGCTTTTTCTATTCCAGCTACTATAGTGTGGAAGAGATCTATTAAACATAATCACTTGCCTGTTGTTCCACTTGTATAGAGAAGTCCATAAAGCATGTCTTCTGTTGGTGGCTGGTTGAAAAATAGAAATGGAGATATAGCACATACTAATGAGATATATGAAAAGATTTGAAACATATCTGTCAAAAGAAAATGTAATTACATCTATGCTTAAAAAAATAAAGCAGATCCCATACATTGTGGTAACTGATCTCATGCGAAGCCGTCATGGACTAGCAACTTATGCCAGATTTTTCCCGAACAGGTTTATTTTCAATGGCGACTGCAGCATTACACTCATCATCATCAGCCTAAGCCCACTGCAGGGCAAGGGCCTCTCCCATGATCCGCCAATCAACCTGGTCTTGTGCTTTCCGTTGCCACGTTATACCTGCGAACTTTTTAATCTCACTGGCCTATCTAACTTTCTGTCTGCCTCCCTTCATGTGTTTGCCTTCTCTGGGCAAATGACCTTTAATGACCAGCAGTTATCCTGCCTACGTGCTGCGTGCCCATGTTTATTTCTTCTTCTTGATTTCACCTATGATATCCTTAACCCCGGTTTGTTCCCTGACCCACTCTGCTTTCTTCTTGTATCTTAAGGTTACGCCTATCATTTTCCTCTCCATTTCTCACTGCGTCGTCCTCAATTTAAGCTGAACCCTCTTTGTAAGCCTCCATGTTTTTGATCCATAGCTAAGTACCAGCAAGATGCAGCTGTTATATACCTTCCTCTAGAGGGATAGTGGCAATCTACCAATCATGATTTGAGAGTGCTTGCCGAAAGTGATCCACCCCAGTCCTCCCCAACTTCCCATGAACATAGCATTAACTAGTCCTACATTTAGGAATAACAGGACATAGCCATATAGAATATTCGCTGTTGAAATCTATAGAGTGCTGCGTTAGCTGTCTGTAAGTGCCAGCTCTTGTCTGTAGGTGCAAGGTTTTGAAAGGTTTTTCTTTTTCAATGAAACTTTAATATAGGCTAGATAAAGAAATACGTAGTAGATTGAAGTTAGAATAAGAGTAATAGCTTTCAAGCACAAGGTAGATGCATTTGTTCTGTGGTTTTTGCTGAATGACCATGATGGTCCAAAACACAAGTGGCAGGTGTATGCAGGAAATAAAGGTAACCAGTTAGCAGAACTAGTCCGCATTTAGGCCTGAATGCAGAAGCATAGGGTCACTTACAATCGAGTAGAGGAGCTTTCAAAACGCAGCTCGGTACAACATGTCAACATAGAACACAACAAAAAAACAGTTGCTTCTGTACGTTCAGTTGCAGCTAATGCTTGTTAAATGTGAGAGTTTATGCTTGAAGGTCCTCAATATCAGCAGCTTAGTGGAGATACTTTTTTCAAAGACAAAGGTTTGCATGCAGTCATGTAGGTTCTCAAAACATGCATGAACAAATTCTTACGATGGGATCCTGGACAGATTTTGAACCAAGTTTCTGCAAGCAAAATGAAACAATCTTAAGTAAGGCATGTAATGAGGAACAATAACATATACGGAAATCATTTAGTGCTCACAACATTATTACCATACATCAAAGCATTTGACAGACAATAAACATCACCTCTAAAAAACTTGTAACTTAACGTAGGCCAGCACAAGCTGCAGTAAAACATTAACAGCATTTCCTGAATTTTATGATGTGGTCCTCCACTGCCTTGACTGGCCCATCCTGGTTAATGCCAATGGGGTACTGCCCAATATAACAAAAAGGTGAATGTTATCAGTTTGTAATAGAAGCAGTAATAAACTAGAATTGAGAAAATTTATAATTAAACAATAAAAAAGTGATAAGTTGCAGATATATCAAGCTGCCTGTTCAAAAATGCTGTAAAAACCCACACATAGCCCAGGGTTCTTTCCTAGACTTTACTATTTAAAATTTCTGCCCCGGACTATTTGTGGATCCCAAGACTTTTCAGCCCGAATTCGTAGTTTTGGCAATACGTGGTGCTATCATCATCATCATCATCATCAGGTGTCTGCACGCTTCTGCGGTAGGTAGCGTTAGTGACGTTAGATTTACTGTAAATACTACCTTTAGGTAGCTAAAGGTAGCATATACAGTAACTCTAAGTGATGTTAGTCCTACAGGCGTGCCACAGTGGCCATTGCAACCACTTGACGCACGTAACAACGACCATGATTTTACGTCTGTGACTGTACACTGTGCCAGCTCTGCGAAGGCAGTAGTTGGCTGCCTTTAGCAGGAAGGCTATCTTAGCTGCTGAAACCATTGGTAACTGTGCAGCGGGGCGGCAGCCTAGCGTGGAAAAGCGGTGCATTCTTGGCTGGAGTCCAGTGAAGAAGTTTTCGGGGGCCGAAACATGGAGCTTTTCCTGACGTTCAACAAGAACTGGCGAGAGAGAGAGAGAGATAAAGGAAGGCCGGGAGGTTAACCAGATATTGGCATCCGGTTTGCTACCCAGCACTGGGGGAGGGGGAAATAGGGGCAAAAAAGAGAGCATAGAGAGAGAGAGAGAGAGGAAAAAAACAACAAAGATGCATGTGCACTTATGAGAAAACAAAGATGCACACAGGAAGGGTATTCTGGCTACTACCGTTCAAAAAGGCCGGTTGATCCCAAAAAACCGCAGTAGTGCTTTGAGGGCCTTTTTCTGTGATGGTGCATCCTGTCGATATTGTAAAATTCTCAACCTCTGTCGGAGGAAATTGCCCTCAAAGTTTCTAGTGGCCCAGTGAGGTTGGAGGCGAACTTTGTTCTGAAGCAACAGGCTCCACAGCTTGCTGTCAACATTGAGCTGTTGCAAGCAAAAGCAAGGGAGATTGCGCTAGATCAAGGCATTGAGCAGGCTGTCTCTAAGGTGAGCAAGCATTGGGTGTCTTTCTTCATGTGTCATGCTGGATTCTCCCTACGTCGGCATACATCAATCTCGCAGAAGCTGCCAAAAAACTATGAATACCTGCTCGTGGGCTTTCAGAAACACCTGATTTCCTTGTGAAAGTCAGCCTCCTTTCAGTTGGGCTAGATAGGAAACGCTGATCGGACGTCTGTGTACCTTGATATGCCCTCGGCTCTAACAGTTCATGAAAAAGGCTCCGGGCAAGTTACCATGCGATCAACTGCAAATGAGAAAACACGGGTGACTGTAATGCTAGCCTGCGGGGCAGATGGAGAGCTGCCACTCTACGTCGTGTTCAGATGAAAGACGCTGCCAAAGGGGGAGAAGTTCTTGAGAAAAGTGGATGGATGAATCGCTCGTACTTCACTAGATCAAGTCTGTGTGGTGTCGACGGCCTAGAGCACTGCTAGAGCTCCCATCGACGCTTGTGTTCACACATTTTGGTGTCATCTGGCGGACTTTGTGAAAAGATTGCTGCTTGACAGCCGCACCGAGCTCGTCGTTATGCCCTTGAGGGATGACGTCCCAGCTGCAGTCACTTGATGTGTGCATCAATAAGCCATTTAAGGACCACATCAAGCGGCTGTATATGGAGTGGATGAGGTACCGAGAGCCGGAAACGACTGAAGCGGGCATCGCCAGCGATGCTGTGCTCGTGGCATAGTCTAGGCTTGGCGGGTATTCCCGAGGTGCTCATTTGCCGCGCATTCGAAAATTTCTCTATTTCAAACTCCCTCGATGGCACTGACGACGAGGTGCCGTGGGAGGACATGTCCGACAAGGCAGCTTCGGATGAGAGCTCGTCAGATGACTACGAGTAACTGAGCGTAATTAAATGTATTCTTCTGTTTTCCTTGGTCTATATTCGAATGAAAACTTCTTTTTCGCACATTGATAATGCCTGAAATGCACCTCTGACTATATGTGGGTCCGATATATTCGAGGGTTTTTACGGTATGTTTGTTCTTACCCACCCTGGTGCAACAAAAAGCACCTCAGCACTTAACACAATATAATAATACAACTCCTTTGAATTCTAATCAATCGATTTTCTTTTCACTATAACAAACTAAATACACCTTGCATTTTTGAGCAAGTACATCTAGAACTCATGGCCTTGTGTTGAAGGTTAACACATGCCGCTGTGCCAAGCTTGTCAGTTAACACATACACGAAATTGAAATGACACATTTTAAAGTGTCTTGATGTTGTAAACATTTGTTTTAGATTATAATTCATAATGACTTCTTACCAGACAGTCACTCCACAGCAACAACTCCACTCCCTTACTGCGACATGCTGCAGTAACATCCCGCGAAATATCTTCGGCACACACAATAGTTTTTAGTGCTGGAAACTGCTCCTTTTTGCTAATGAAGTACTGCACTTTGTCCACAGAGTCACATATATATACGGGGCTTTCCACTGCAAGCAACGATCACAACAAAAAAAAAAAAACAGGGAACATGAAGTGAAATTTATAGTAAAGATCAATGGTTGATACAGTAAAAATAAACAGCAAAAAAAAGAAGCAAAAAGAAAGGATGCAACACGAGGTGTTTAGAGATATGTACGAAAACGAAAAGATCAGTTAAGCAGTTCTAGTAAAATAAATGCATTACCTATCAAGAACTGAAATTACTTATCCCAAGAACTGAAATTACTCATCTCAAATTACCTAAATTACCTATCTCAAATGGCACAAGAACTGAAATACTTCAAGCAGCTTGTACAGTGAATATAATTAAGATTGATGCACGATGGAAGCAGACAGCAGTTTAAAGGGCCACTCACCGGGTTTGACAACTTTGAGCTGACAAACCCAATGCGTAGATGAGGCGTTCATGATCATGTCTGCCAAAATTTGCAATGCTATGCGCCGTGGAAATGGGTCAAATTTCAAAACAAACGCTTCTCCCCCTTACTTTTGCGGGTGCGTTCCCAGAGAATGAGGGCATGACGTGCGTGTATGAATGGCTCTACGTACACGGCAATGCAGTGACATTGTCGTCTACGTAGACGACAGTGGCATGTGACATGGCAAAAATTATTTAACATGACATGCGTAGTTTATTTATTTTTTGCTTGAAGAGATTAATAAATCTCTAGATAAATAATGAAAAGCAATAAGGGAATGTGAGCGTGATCTTTATTTTAAAAATTTTTTCCCCTGTGAATTGCAAAGAGATGCGGGGCTAATGTGCCGGCATACCGTGGTCAGTGCATCGAGCATGCGACAGCCGTAGAATGCTTCTACGCATTCGTGCACTTATTGTGCTCATATATTCTACTGCTTCTAAGCCAGCGCTTCCAAACCATCCCGTAGAAACAGGCAGTAGACCTCAAAACAACGCTGGTAAACAACAATAAAAACAACAACAACAACAACAACAAAAAAAGAACCGCCGCCCGCATGCAGTGATTGGGCTTGTTCGGGGACGTCATGCGCACGTGACCTCTTGGTCGGATGCCAAAGATGGTGGGGAAGAGATTTGGCTTGCGAAGGCTACGCGGAAGAGCGGCAAGGGTTTCGAGCTCACATCCTCTGATCCTTGTTTTGCGCCGCTTAAAAAAAAAAAAAAAAAAAAAAAAAAAAATTCTCGGCTCGCATTGAACGCATTCAAAAAATTTTTTTAAGAAAATGTTCCTCATCAGACACCCAAAAACTTCCATGGTCTAACGAAAATTCGATATGGGTCTGGTGAGTGGCTCTTTAAGGGATTCATGGCGATAAAAGATCAAGCAAACAGTTAACATTTTTTAACTTATTTTGCATCCTACAATACAGACTTAGTACAGATGTTTGGACTTAAGCTTAAATTTAGGCATAATAGAGAAGTTTCATACACATAACATAATGTGATCATGTGTACCAGGCCCGTAGTAGGTATTTTTTTTTCCAAGGGAAGGGGCACTTGTTGAAGGCCTAGAAAAACTCTTATTTCCATTATTTAGTCTCAGCAAAACACCGTGCTTCATCGGTATCTTGGATCGGGTCGCGAAGTTCAAAAGAGTTGAATCTTTTTTCAGAACAATACTGAAACACAGCAATAAACGAAGCCGCAAGTACGAAGACTAGGCAAATGTGTGTACTGCCCATCATTCCCATGGTCGCTCAACGATTGCAGCGACAGAGTCCGCTCTAGTTAATTTTAGGAAACTCTACGAGGCGGAAGGAATAGGCACGAAAATGGCTTTTCGAAATGGAGGGTGGTGCACAGCGCTGTATTATTCAGAAATTTTGATCACCGCGGTTTACTGCACGAATTGGCAAGCTCGTTTGAGGAGTTAAAAAAAAAAAAAGTCGGAGCCTGTTTACTGGCCCTTTAATTCTGCAGCGTGACATCGGTGGGAGCCATACGATCGTCCCATGTCCCATGTCGTACTTTTGATTAGATCAGGTGCGATCTGGAATGAATCCCTCAATCGTTATTAGATTTCACCTGTAGCTTATGCTAATAAACCGATTTACATAGAGAAACTTGATCCAGATCAGGCTTGATCACAATTGAAAGGGCCCCTACAATACCAGTATGACATGCTTGATATTTTTCTTCTTGCTTAAATCAGTTATGCACCTCCTGTGTACCCAGGACTCATGGATAAGCTTTTAACTATACTGTATGAATAGCGAAATTTTGGGCACAAAGCAAATTCGAGTGTTGAAGTGTGAGCGTGAATCAAATCGTATGTTTTTAAAATATTTTCTTAACACTTCGAATGCGAAATCGCCAAAATGAGAGTTGGAGAGAATTCATAAGCATATTCTTAAGGGATAGCAACATGAAAGTGTTTCTTTTGGCTAAGTTGATGAAGCGCTGCCGGGGTGGTGTTTCATAGTTGTCTTATGAAGAATGAGGCAATGCAGACGACGAATTGTATTATCTACATGCATTCGGTGCGACCACAGTGTTGCCGACAATACCTTACGCGTGAAACACAAAGATGTTATTTCCTAATCCTCTCCTCTTCTTTCAATTTCTGTGGAAGCCTTAACTAATGTGGCAGACAAGAGTGTGCTGCCTTCGAGTTCCTGAGTTCTGAATCTGCCTCGTAGGCTATATAAGAACATCTCAAATTTTAAAGACTAAACATTTCCGTCCAATTTTTCGGACTTCCTGCCCAAATTTCAGGTCCAAACAGCTATAATTGAGCTCCTACCTCTGCCATATCTATCAATTACATGTTAAAATTGGTGTTTTATTAAGTCAGTACAATTGCGAACCATAGCGGAGCCAGGAATGCAGCTTTGCCACAATACAAAAATGTGATGGGTGTGAAACACATTATAAATATTAAGGGGTCACTGTTCATTGGACATTGACAGTGTTTGTCTTCGGGATGTTTGAATAGCGATATTCCACTGCGAATATTCGCACACCCCTCTTTTAAACCAAACAAACATAGCCCTGAAAGCACAACCACAGCTATTTCAGTGGCCCCTAAGCTCATAAATTAAAATGGAACATTAAATTGAAAGTTGAAACTGTAAGCATGCACAGGCAAACTACAAACACCACTCATATGCAAATTGCAGGCAGCTGTGAGCACAAATGCTTTATGACTTCTGTGAATGCAAATATGGATTGCCAAGCATTGCTCAGTTTATGTGACAGCTCAAACTAAGTCACATAATCCCCTTTATTTATTAAAACCAACTTTGGCATTTTGTTCTTCTGTAACAGTGCCACAAGTTTTATAATGTGAAGCCATACCACAGATTTGTTCAAAGATCTTGCGTCTTGACCATATTAGAGATGGCATAGTTGAAATAAAGTTACGAGATACATTTCGCTACAATGAGCTGTTTCCGGCAGTTTTAATTGGCATTCGATAAATGAACAAGGCTGACTGCAGAAAGACGTCTAATCTTGAAAATTTCCATCCCGCGGTAACAAGTGTATCACATGAGCGTAATTATCTGAACAGCAACGAAACCTTGTTGGAGAACAAACGACGTGGCCTCAAGGTCGGCGTTGGCTGTGACTGGACAAGAAACCATGGAGTAGTGGGACATGGAGTAGTTTGAGATGACGTACTGCAGAAATATACAGTCCAGTAAATCGCAGAATCTGGCGAGTCCTCCGAAACTTCTAAACTAAACTAAAATTAATGTGGAAGGCAAAGCATTTCATGTTATTCTGTGCTTTTACCATAACAGAATTTCAAATGCTCACAGGTCGAAATTCACAACTTCGCATAAAGATGTTCGGGAAAGATCTCCTGAATGTCAAATGTTCAATTAGTTTCAAAGTTCTGCTATCACAGTGGCATTCTTTTTCTCCTTTCTTCTTTATTCAATGCTGCAAACCTTGTACAAGTCCAAGCATGGTAAGTAAAAAGATAAAGAATGCAAATACAAACCAAGTCAATAATGTTTTAGACTGCAAGTGGGGTGAAAGGCAATAAAGAGTCCTCCCATTGTATTATAGTACGATGAAAAATATGAGAACTTGGATAAATCTACACACTGTGAAAAATTGCCTCAGTGACTTAGGATGATGGTGGCAAGCAAAGAGGCTTGATTGAGTAACAATAAGCAATAAGCATTGGCGAGTAGAACTGTAGCAGACTTGCTATGACCAAGTGACTGTAAGGCCCTTAATGCTTGAAGGAGCATGGGTTTAGTATGTCAGGAGCTGCCTCACTATGAGTGTAGGAGGAAGCAAAGCATTAAATGGTAACCATGAATTAAAGCTTAAGGAACAAAAATGAAATAATCTATTCAGCTTGAAATTAGCAATAGCATAATTACACTGCCGAGAATGTTTTCACAGTCACAAACTTGGCCGATACTTGTTGAGCCTGTTGGCTTCCACTTTATGAAGCCACTGTCTACACTAAGCAGGAGAGATCAATATATATATATATTTTTTCTACTGTTTCTGGCACGATACTGTTAATTTACAGCTGGATTTGCAATATTATTCGGCACATGTCTTTATGTGACCCTTGTGTACATATAGTTTTTTGTTCTGCCACTATTATCGTGTAGCTGCTGCAGACGAGAATTGAACCCCCGTGCCCTCATGCTCGGGTTTACAAATTCTCAGCTGTCAAGTGCCATCATGATAAAAATGCTAAATAATAGTGTGGCTCACACCCACTTCACTAAAACCATAATATTAATGAAATCAACATTTTTCATGAAAAACTCTGTCCCTGACAAAGCACGGGGCAATCACCTACTTTCACTGCATATGGAAAATAAATGTTTGTTCCTCAACAGTAACAACCCGAAATGACACAACAGGTACTTTTACTTTCTCAACATTATGAATGTGCACACACACACACACACACACACACACACACACACACATGAGGACGTGCATGTTATAACATGTGATGTACTCACCTCAAGGCCAGTCTTGCAGTTGATCATGGCAATGCTCTCACGAGGTACTAGCCCCAGGGAGAGCAGTCCAGACCCAAACATTTGGCATTTTTCCAGGAGCTGCATTTGGCAGATTAAAGCGAAGGTTAGAGGTATAGTCAGTGGCCAGCACTAAGGTCAGAACTAGGGATGTGCAAATATTGAAATTTCAACTCGAATCGAATAAGAATTGAATAGTGCTGAAAAGTGGCCAAAAATGCTGAATTTGAACTGAATATCGAATAGCATATTTACACGAAACATGTATACTGCCAGTTACGGCTAGACAAAATAAAAAATACAGATGGTATGTCGTGTCGGCAGCATTATTATGCACATTTTTTTGTTACTTATAGTTTCAACTTTTGTGGGTGGAAAGCGTTTTATAAGAGCCACCATTTTATTCAGCAGTGCCATTCCTAACACCCTAAAGGCTCACAGAGGAGTACAGTCACTAGTTACGAGTGTGGAGCCCATTTATGGGCCCGGGCTGTCTGACGCTGTCGTATTATGTCATCATTTGCGGTCACAGCATGGTGCAACGCAGGCAAAACCATGAATGGCATAGTCATCTACAGCATATTGTCACAGGTAATGGGTATGAGCCATCAACTGTAGGTGGAATCCTTTGGAAGTGAAGAAAGAAGAGGGCTTTTGCGTCAAAGGAGGCTCTTTGACAGTTCGTTGGGACGCGGCTTCACCCCCAGGAAGCCGCGGTTTCTAGTTTCCCCTGTGGGGGCTCGGTGACCGGCCTCTGAAAGGAGCAAAAGATGACGAGGGAATGCTAGGTGACGTGGAGCGGCGAGGTGATGGTGATCGTGATTGGGGGCGTTGACCAAGGCGAGGAGCTTGCTGGCCCGTAAGGTACGCTTCGATGTCGCGAGGACGCTCACCGTAACGCGGGCACCGAGCATCAGGGTGAAAGCCACGGAGACCAAGTTGGCGGTACTGGCAGTTACGGTAGGCGTGACCTGCTTCGCCACAGTGGTAGCAGAGTGGACGGTTATCGGACGTACGCCACACGCTGGCCTTTGTGGCGTTCTGCCGCGATCCAGACGGACGATAAGTTGGTGCACTCGGAAACCTTGAGGCGGGTGGCGGAGTCGAAGAGGTGCCCTGGAATTGATGGCTAGCCTGATCCATTCTCCCCATGGTGGGATCAGGGCCATGTGGTGCAGGAGATCGCAGAGCCGCCGCATAAGTCAGCACAGGGGCCTCAGGCCTTGCTGGCGCGAGTGGGGTGACCACCTGTCGGATCTCATTTCGGATTAAGTCTGTGAGATCACTTACGGGTGGTTGGGGTCCCGCTGCTTGGAGTTGGCGCAGCTCGTCCCGCACGACGCTTCTTATGAACTCAGCGAGGGCATGCCTCTCGCTGTCAGCCCCGATAAAGCATACAGCAGGAGTCACGTCGTGGCGTTCATACTGTGACGACCTATACTGGAGAGTACGCTCCATTGTGGTTGCCTCATTTATGATCTCTGCCACAGTCGTCGGTGGATTGCGCACGAGTCCGGCGAAGAGCTGCTCTTTTACCCCACGCATTAAATGCCGCACCTTCTTTTCGTCGGACATTGCAGGGTCACTGCTTCTTGCCGTGGGAGCTGTAGCTGTCTCCAAGTAGCTCGGTGTGTCGGCTGAAAATCTGCAGCCGAGGCGCATTTACCCAGCACCTCCACCAGTGCCACGAATGTAATTACAGACAGCGACGAAACGACGTCTTGTTGCCCTCAGACCAGGACGCAAAAGCCCTCTTCTTTCTTCACTTCCAAAGGATTCCACCTACAGTTGATGGCTCATACCCATTACCTGTGACAATATTGAACACGTGCTCGCTTTGCTTTGAAGCTTCGCGCAAAGGCATTGTCGTACCCAATGAAGCGAACACGCGCTCGCGCTAAGGAGAAGTCTTCTTCCTCTTGTACTTCGAGCACTTTGAATAAGCGAGCATGCGCTCGCGCCAACAAAAAGTCTTTTAGGGGCGAAGCTACTTAGGTCTGTCCATCCTTCGATGGTGTATGTAGCCACCAGTGGCACATACCCGAAAGAGCGGTTCTTAGAATGCCCGCTGGATGGCAGCACTTGTATATAATACATGGCGAAAAGATGTGAGATGGCTGTACTTGGAGTGTTCACTAGACAGAGGGGCGGATGCACGGACAGACAGACAGCCGCACGAACAGACGCATGGAGGGAGGCACAGAAGGATGGATGCACCGATAGTCACACAGATCAACGGACATACGGACAGACGCACGGATGGAAGCAAGAACGAATAGGCGGACGAAAGCACGAACGAACTGACGAGTGCTTCGCCTCACTAATCATCATTCACTCCGTGGATATGCTGTGATTTTTTGTCACATCGAGATAAAGGGAGAAAAAAAAGAAAAAAGAAAACAAAGATTGGGGGAATGAAAGAGAAAACCGAAGAGAAACAAAGAGGGCTGCCCAGGTTCGTGCTTGCTTCAGACTTGGCACCACTAGTGTGAAGCTGCATTAATTTTTTTACCCCTATTGTCACACAATACAGCTAATCTGATAACGGTATTGTTGCACTTCATTGCCATGGGAATTCCAGGCCAAAAAATCTTAGGGTGCCCATTCAGAACAATGTTTTAAGTGCACGCCGAAATGATGGGCATTTGCGAATGAGTGCTGCGATGCAGCAGTGGTGACTGTGTAGCATGGACAAATTTTCACATGTGAAGACAAACACTAAGAATATCGCGGGCCAAAGTGGCGATGTCTTGCGGTGCTTGAAACGCAAGCGTCTGAACTATGCAACAAGTCTGTGCCTTCGTTTCGTCATTGATATTGTGTAATGCTTGACTGTTTTCTGGTGCTTTTTTTTAAGTGTGTGGAAATGACAATCTTCTTGAAAATAAACTCGCACTCGCTTTTGAACTTCGATATTGGTGCAAGTTTTAACAAAAGGCCAACTGTAACGATGTTTACTGACATGCTTTGGCCTGCAAATAACACACACACAAAGCAAAGAAACACTCAACGACAAGCACAAGCGGCTTGTCGTTGAGTGTTTCTTTACTTTGTGCGTGTATTATTTGCAGCCAAAGCATGTCAGTAAGCAAGTACCAACTAGGCCAACAATCAGTATTGCAATGATGTTAGTGTTTGTTTTAGCCATCCACCCTAATCAAGTTGCACCATTAAATTTTATTGCATTTTAGATATTCAACCAGTAGAATTGTTTGAAACTTTGAATACTAGAAGTGTGGCAGCTTGGGCTAGTTGGTATGGCATGACGATAGTTATAGCGCGAGAACAAAACGACGACACAAAGACAAGAAGTACACGAAAGGCACGAGCGCTCGTGCCTTTCGTGAACTTCTTGTCTCTGTGTCGTCGTTTTGTCCTCGCACTATAACCATCGTTTTGAATACTAGCTTATTTGAAAGAAAAATCAAATTATTCGCTGAGGCATTATTTGCTGTGGCATTATTCGATCCGAGTTAAAAATTTGAATATTCACACATCCCTACTATAACAACATAATTATATCACTACATTTTAAGTGAAGCACTCTGTATAGCGGAAGCTACAGGCTATTGAATATTAGTCATTTCTTTCACAGCAGTTTTAAGTGGTATGTGCCAAGCTCTGCTTTTCATGAACATCTGCTGACACGTGGAAGGTCGCTGAGGCCATGCTCCACATGCTTGTCTTGTTAAGTTTATACCATGAGGCTCTGCAAAAAACGCAGCTGCTTGCTGATCTACATAGCACAGATTTTCTCCTCTCGTGCTCACTGTGCAGCTGCTATATAGCCACTCCACTATACACATTGGTTGCCTTGAACAGGCACAGTATGTTGCAGCTTGACCTATTGCCAATCTCTAACTCTACAGCCCACAACACTGAAAGGGCAATCTGCAGCGTTAAAGGAAGAAAACCTCGACAAGCTTCACTGGTTGAACGGCTAACATCGACATAGAGCACACTGTACCACAAACAGCTGATGCTCGCCATCCACCGGACGCTTTGAGCTGTAGTAGTGAACTGCGATTCCATATTTGCCTCTGATGTCACTGGAGCAGCTGTTTGACCCAATGACATCGCTCACCCTAGTAACGTCCCTTGGGCAAAGGCCAGTCGAAACTTGGTGAGAGGGTACTTCTGAGACCTATGGAGATGCATGCATTTTTAACTTATAATAAATCTTGTAGAATGCTCAAACTGGTCTGCTAATGATCTGAAGGCTAGTACCGAAAGTAAAAACTAATTTAGCATCCCAAGTTTACAATAATGCCAATAATAAATGTTTAATATGCAGTAAAGTAGGGAGCTAACATGTAGTGAGCTAACAATCTCAAGTCGAAGCAGATATTCAAATTGCCCTTTCTCGCAGAATGCTTCTAAAGCAGTAATAAACTTGCTCCTGTAACGAACCTCTTCATAGCTTATCCAGTGAAGCTCTTTCAGGTCCTTGCTCCAGTAGCCACAGGCCTTCTTGTTTTCTAGAAAAATGATAACACCAATGCTGTGAATAGCAATTCCATGTGCTCAGTCAATTTATCATGCAAAACTGCACCATTAACAATGGAGATTTTTATCAGAAGGAACGAGAGAATACCTAATACAAACTGAGTGCACCATAGTGCACTCAGTGACATCATACTCTTGACATGAGACGTTGTTGTGAGATGTGCTTCTTGCGCATTTCACAATGTCGACCAAGAAGATAAGATATGCGGGGGACGTTTGGCATTAAATTTCAAGCCATCTCGTATGAAGACAAGAGCCCTCAGCAGAACATAAAAAAAAATACTAATTCTACTAGTGTACTTGGCCCCATAAATTATGTGCTTAAAATAATAGTTTTAACATGAAAACCATAAGTATTGGACGATTACTTTTCTTATCTAAGAGCTTAGATAAACCCTTCAAATCAGATTGTATAAAGAATGGATTGAGAGCAGATTCGGCAGTTAAATGCAAAGCAGCTGCTCCTCTTAAAGGCAATAAAAGCAGTCCTAGAAGTTTCATATTATCAGATTGTATAAACAATGGATTGAGAGCAGATTCGGCAGTTAAATGCAAAGCAGCTGCTCCTCTTAAAGGCAATAAAAGCAGTCCTAGAAGTTTCATATTTCGGTTCTCAGCTCTGACAGCTTGAGATATTAAATGGTGCATCGTGTAGCATGCCAATAATTGAAAAATATGAACTTTAGCATTTCTCAGCCTGTGATGACATAGTGGGTGGCTACATAGCAGGACTTTTCAAACGGCATTACCATGCAGAATAATTGTGAAATATGCTGTGGTAAAATGTTATCAAACACAGTTGAAGTGTATTTAAAAAATTAGCATTTCATTGAAAGCTGAATGGGCAATCAATTTTCTTTAATTCTGAAGTTTTAATGTTTATCATGTCAAAATTATAGCACAGGCTGCGTGAAACATCAATGCAAGCAAGAGAATTATTTTGACCTCCTTGCAGTTAACAAGTACCCAAAGCATATTACATCGGCATTTTTCCTTTGCATCTTAAATTTCATAATTGTCTTGCATGTTGAAGTATAGCATGGGCTAGTAGAAACATGATGGTAAGCAAGATAATCATTTTGAACATCATGAATTTATCAGATACCTCAAGCTCATTACGATGTATGTTTTTAAATTTTTTATTTTAATCTCTTTGGAGTGACTGCACGGCTAAGAATCAGCAGCAGGGACAATAACAAATTTGTATAGATGGATGGATGAAAGAACTTTATAAATGTCCAATAGGTCGTGCTACTGTCCTAGCACGAAGCAGGCCGCTCCCACGTTGGGACCGAAAGACCTAGCCTTAGCCACTTCCCGGGCCCATTAGACTGCCCATAATTGTCCCTCTAATGTAAGACTGTGTAAAGCTGCGTGCCACTATTCTTCTGTATTTTCTTTGTTGCTGCGTAACGTGGAGCAACGCTAGAGCGTATGAGCGAAATCTATGGTCTCATGGCATTTATCGTATGTTGTACAGAGACCACTGGATAAATCCTGTTAATTTACAGTGAGTTAGGTTCTTGTCTGTTAGCCATGTTAAGAATTATAAAGCCAGCGAATAAATGAAAGGCTTGAAAAAAACTAGAGGGGAGGAGGATGACATGAATAATGGATTAACAATACCAATAGGACTTGACACAGAGAACAGAAACTCCAATATGCTGAGGAAGACACTATAGGCAACTAGAAAAAAAAAAAAAAGACTGTTGTGGATGACATAGGATTATAGGTGAGTTGCAACATTATGAAGTAAGCAGGGACATAGTGCGTGGGACAACACGGGGCATGTTGACAAGGGAATCCAGGCAAGTGACCTGCCCTCTTTTAGAAAACTAAAGAAGAATAGTGCATCACTCTAAAAGCAGATTTTTTTTTTTTCATTTATATTTTTTATAAAGTTGATTTTATTAAAGATAATAAAAGCTATACTTTCATTTTTCATTTTGAAAATTTCTTGGCCAGAATGCGAGATCTCGCAGATCGATCTGAAATACACAATATTATTGTTATTCCTTTCATTTTTATCTTAAAAAAAGTGTAATCTCTGGCCTAGAGAAATATAGTTTTTGTTGTTTACATAGGTTTCCATGCTGATTTCAAATATGCAATCAGTTTTGTAGTAAGTTGCATAGTTTTCATGTTGTATCATGAACATGTGTAAACATAGTTTTTTTTACACACTTCTGCCAGTAAACTTTTATTACGAGTCATTACAATGGTTCATATTACTTCCAGATTAACTGTGGAATAGAAATAACTAACTAGAAGGTATGTATAAGACATTTTAATGAACAATAAAAAATGTAATGCAAAAGTCTTGATATGCTCTGCCCATACTGTCTACATTAACATTGTGACAATTATATAAGTGATATAAGGATTACACTTTTCACATGTCAAAGAATATGCGGGAAACATTTCATCCCGATCAGGCTGTCAGAAGTACCAAATACATGATGTCCGAACTCAAGAAGTTGCTCAAAATTGCGTCTTGAGAAAAACAAATTTTAAACGTAGAAATGAAAGCTTATCTACTTGACTAAGATATACTTTTTAAGCGGAGATGCCATTTGGAAAACAGGTTGCGGTAATCTATAGCCTAGGGCAAGGAAACTTTCGCTGTAATATATCGGTTTTTATCTTTATTTAAATTATATAATTAGTTTTATAGTTCAATTTGCTGTTTTAGTTTTGTGCCATGACAGTGTGTAACATATAGTTGGTTTTGGACAAACTTTTTATGCCACGGAACATTTACAGTTCCCACTAATTAATGAATCATATTGCTGCACATTAACCATAGAATGCAAATAACCGTCAAGAAAGTGTGTATAGGAGATTTTATTGGACAAGAAAAATTATAATGTGAAAATGCTTAAAACACTCAGCCCCTACTATGTGTTCATTTTATGTTTGTAACGGTTGTACGGATGCTATCAAGATTTAAGGAAGATACTTGCACCTTCACAACTAGAGGAATATGAGGGCAAAATTTCAATCCGATCAGGCTACCATAACTATCAAAAACATGATGTGGAAACTCAGAAACTTGCCCAAAAATGGGTCTTGAGAAAAGTGCATTTTAAATGTATAAGTGAAAGCTTCATATATGCAGAAAAGGTATGTTTTTAAGGTGATTTCTTCCATCATAATACCTTGGCTATCACAGTTATTTTGAACATCTGGCTTTAGTGAATTCTGAATGTGGAATGCATTGACAAGTAGTAGGTGAGAATTTTCAGGGGACTTCAAAAAATTAGCTTCTTCTAGTTTTTAGCAGCCACTTGTGCTCTTTAAAAGTAATTTAATTGGTACTTCAAGTTTACTTGAAACTTTCAGTTTTTTTTTTGTCTTGAAAGTAGAGAAAGTATACCGTATTTACTCGATTCTACCGCGCCCTCGATTGTAACGCGCACCCGATTTTCACGACAAAAAAAAAAAAAAAAAAAAAAAAAAAAAAAAAAAAAAACGTAAGACATCGATTGCAAAGCGCACCCATTTTTCTCGATGGCCCGCACGATCACACCACCAAAAAAAAACGACTCCTTTCGGGAGCGTCTTCCATTTAAATACGAGGTATGGGTGAAGCTTGTGCCCATCTGACGTGTAACAAAGCATTGCCATCACTGTAGTTTTACCGTGGACCAATGTCAGCACGCAAACTTGCTTCGCCCCCTTCTCGACGGTTGTGGTGCCAGGCATGTCGAAGTAAAGAGGCGTCTGATCGGCATTCCCGATTTGCCCAAGCAGGTAGTCGTTGCGCCGCAAGTTTAGGACGAACCACTGAAAACTGTGAAGCTTTTCATCGTACTCCTCCGCAAAACTTTTCGCATATGCATGTTCCTCTTCGGAGAGAAAAGCCTTTCCTCTTCATAAAGTTAGCTAGCCAGCACCTGCTCGCTTTAAACTGGCTCCGCATTAGACCTTTTTCTAAGACTAATTGCATAGCCCGCACTTGGAGCAGTTCTGTCGTCACGGGCCGCTGTGCCGCTCGCTGCTCAAGCACATACTCGCCGAGCAGCTCTTTAATTTGCAGAAACCGACCCTGCTGTGGTCCACTGAAGTCTTTGCGTTAAGCTTTGCTGTCGACAATCTTCTGCTTTTGTTTCCGCCGGTCCCGCACGCAGGTTTTGGGAACTCCGAACGACCGTGATGCGGCCCGATTTCCGTCCGTTTCTGCACACACGATGACTTTTCTTTTAAAAGCGGCATCGTGGTTCACTCGAGTTTTTGGAGTCGGCCCTTCCACGCCGTCGATGCTAATGCACTACTAGACGACGAACTCCTCAGCACACGTACGAAGTGCCGCACATGGGAAACACATAGGCAGAAATGGCCGACGCGCCATGTCGACGCACATAGGGGGCGGCCATTTTGGATTTGCCGATGGCAATAGATTGACCGTAATTTTTTTGTTCGTACTCGATTCTAACGTGCATGCGATTTATGAACTCGCTTAACCGGAAAAAAGGTGCACGTTAGATTCGAGTAGTTACGGTACTTGTGAAAGCAAAGAAAAATTAAAGGTATGTAGTTTGGAAACAAGTTGTATTTCCCTACTCGTATCTCTTTTTAAAACTGATTTCTGCCATCAGAAGAGCTTGATAATCATTGTAATTTTGAGCATGTGGCTTTGCTGAACTAATGCAAAATGCAATGGCAAGCAGCCAGGAAATAGTATACAGGGGACTATAGACAATAGGCTCTTTGGTTTGCAATAGCGACCTTGCACTCTTTAAAAATGATTTTATCCTACATCAATTCTAACTTCAAAGTAATTTATTTTCTTTCTACAAGTGTAGTAGCTTGGGCTTGTTGGTCTGGGTTCACGATGGTGAATTTCACAGCGTGAGAACATGCTGTAAAAGCAGAGAAACAAAACTTGCGAAAGCAAAACTTGCGTGCACTTTGTTTAGTCTGTAATAGCCACCTTGCACTCTTTAAAAATGATTTTACCCTACATCAATTC